GTGCGTCACCATCCCCTAGGAGGAAAATCAACAAGTTTCCTCATTATGGTTGGTTTTCGGGCAAGATCCCAACATAAAGAAATTTTCCTATGCTCCGCAGTTGGTGTCCTAATTCTAACCTAAGCTCTGATACCAACCTTTGTCACGCCGTTTCCATGGCCCGGACCGGCACTAAGGGCCCAGGTAAGCTTAAGGCTCCCGAGGCGGCGTAGTAAGCCCTGAAACACTAAAATTTGCTATCTCAATATAAATTTCAATATTGCGGCCACATATTACTAAAAAAAACAAAACATCAAGAAATTTTTATTAACATCTCGGCCCAAATTTATCTTTTACAAAAATTCCACAGTTCAGGCCCAATTTTACAAATAATCACGTTTCTAAAATATGGGTCACAAAATCATCTCGTCTATGAATAAATAACACGAACTAAGATGTAAAGTAAATTCTACCAACTGAAGAGTCACTAATTGTTTTGATATACATAGCCTTTATAGCATAACAGTACATAGTAAAATAATTAATGAAATAAATAAAGAATAGTAAATAATTCAGAGCCACTATATTTTATTATATACCAAAATTAATAGAACTAAGATCTAAAATAAAACTTTATTAATTACTGTGTTAAATAAAAATTGTAGTTCCTAATTTTTTATCAAATTTCGACAGCACGCTCCCCCTAAAAATTTGAACTATCTACCTGCTCAACAATAATCACAATATCATTATATCTTTATCAATCAATTGCCACACAGCCCATTCCGTCGGCAATCAATCAATTTAAAATCCCAATCCTCCTTCCCATAACAACAATATCATTATAGTTAATTTCAATTAATACTTTTCACTGTGGGATTAGTTTCGTAAGGTCTAACTATTATAGTACTGCTTTAATCATCTTTCATTTTCTTCAATTCTTGCTTAAAGATAATAAGCCACATATTTATACTTTGTTAATTTAATATTAGCCAATACCGAACAAATGCTTTTTATTAAAAATTAAAAATCTAAAGAATACATATAACTAAGAGATTTAACTTAACAGCCTAAAAATATAATCGATTAACTATTCCTAGGAGAAATTAAACCTACTATTTCACAATGCTTTTTCCAGTTTATCTTTCGCGTTTGGGATTCATATAATAATCAGTCTGATGTTTCGCATTCATGAGTTTCAGAAATTAAATGTATTTACCCCTATCAGGTTTCTCTAACAAGAAGCATAAATAAATTTTTAACTAGGCCTAATTCGATGCACTCCTATTTTCAAACATAAATTAAAAAACCCTCTTATCCCAATTCAATGTAATATTCATGCTTAAGAAAACATTAAAAATCCATATAAGCTATAAAATTCAAAAAGAAATAATCAACAAAAAATAAATTCAGACCCAGATCAAAATTGACTTAAGCCATTTTCTAATAGAGATTAAGCATTATTCAGCTTTTGATTACTAAAGATTACTATTAACTAATATATTGAAGCTTATATAACTAACAGATGCCACAAGGAGATAGATTTCCTATCTTAAAACATTAATACTTTTGTAATAACTAATTCAATTCTTTAGGTATTATTCCATGTATATTATGTAGCTAAATAATCCTTAATTTAACAATTTTCTGCAGTCTTATACTCTTTCTAAAGCCTAATTATAAATCAAGTCAAACCAAATAGTTTGAATATCAATCAATGTTTCAGATTAAACAAAATCTAACATTATAGTCATACCTACACGTATGGTTGAGTGGCAAAAATTCCTGCCTATTTAGGCATCCTTTTCCCGGTTACCGAGAACATCAACGGTCGCCACAAGCCACGGTGGCCCGACGGCGCAGCAGGGCTGAGATCAAATAACAGTATATTCCTGAAAATAAAGAATGCTGTCTGTAAGTTCGATTTTGAGATCAATAATCTACAAAAATAATGGCAAATAATTACTAAAACCCCAAATATTTATCAAATTGACAAAACCTAAAATCCTTCAATCATCCTCAAGTGGCTCATTCAAAATTCAATTTGTCCACTTAATTATTTATCTAAAAGTAGACGAGAAAGGCATTTTGGACGCAACCTTGCTAACGTGGATCGCCGAAAAAACGATGAGTCTGCTGAAAATCGAGCAGGAGACCGATCTGGCGGTGGAGGGCAGAAACTGCGACTTCCTGCCATCGTTAGGCGCCTCGCCAGAGAGGAGGAGAAAGGAGGCCTTGAGCATACTGCGGCGGTGACGCGACCGGCGAGGTGGCGCTGGTTCTGGTGGTCGGAACCAGAAACGAGAAAGGAGGAGAAGGCAGTGAGGTCGTTGCCGCCGCAGAAAAACCGGGAAGAAGGAGAAGGCAGTGAGGTCGCTGCCGTTCGATTGGTGGCACGATGGAGGTTCGGTTCGGCTCAAGGTGGCCGAAACGGAGGGAGGAAAAAGGGGGAGAGGAGGTTTCGCCGCCTTCCGTGCTAGCGGCAAGGAAGAAGAAGGGAAAAAGAAAAGTAAAAGAAAAAGAAAAAAGAAAAAGAAAAAAAAGAAAAAAAGAAAAAAAATCTTGGGGGGGGCTTCATAGACCATTCCGGTTCGATTCGAAATAGGTTGGGTCTAATTTAATGATATCGGTTCGATATTTTGCCTCGATTTTCAAGTTTTCAATTGGGTTTTTGAAATTATTCTTTGTGGTTTTCGATTTTTGGCCTTGGGCCCCAATTTGAAATTTGGGCTCGAATTGAGCCTGTTTTTTAACATTTTACAAGCCCATCACGGCCAATTTGCGATTTTTGATTTAAAAAAAAAATTCGAGAGGTTTTGAAAAATTAAAAAATCCGGGTATTACAACTAGTGGTGGTGGTCGGTGTAAAGCGGTGACTGGGTGGCGAATTGAGCCTGTTTTACATTTACAGCCCACACGGCCAAAATTTGCGATTTTTGATTTAAAAAAAATTCGAAGGTTTTGAAAATAAAAATTCGGGGTATTACACTAGTGGTGGTGGTCGGTGGTAACGGTGACTGGTGCCAGTAATCATGATGATTAATAAATTAAAAAATAAGGATTTATAAGGTTTGCCAATGTCTATAAAATATTTTACTTTCTTGAAAATGAAAAGTTATTTTCTTTAAAAATGATTTGATTTTCCTTTAACCAAGAAAAATATTTTCCGTCGATTTATTTTTCTGAACGCCCCAAACAATAGAAAATTGTGAAAAATATTTTTCTGCAAGTTATTTACGGAAACAAACGAAGCCTATAAAATATTTGATTAAGAGCTTTTAAAAATTTTCGCGAGAAAGATAGCTCTCATTCCATGGAACGGACACGTGCAAGGTTAGAGCTTTTTAAATCTTGAATCACTAATATTGAAACTCGTAAGAGTTTTACTTGAAAACTACTCCTGATTCAAGCGTGGTGATATATATATGAAATATATGTTGAAATGATATATTGTTGATTCATTAAGTGTTAAACAAGTCGAAATAATATTATAAACTACACAATAAAAATATTGTCACTTAATTGATCAATTTGATGAAAATTTTTTATGGTCAAAGTATTTAAACTCGAAACTTCACACGTTTTCATAACTCGAAACCTTTTATTCAACTGCATTTGCGTAATGCATGAAAATTCAGTTTCTTTGGACATATTACTAAGGATTTTTTTAGTAATTTGATGCAAAATTTAGAATGTACGCAAAGTAATGTTTGTTTCATAGAACATGTCATTAAAAATTTAAAATAGCAACGGTCAATAAAAGGGAAAGTTTTATGTTAATGGGAGTAATTGCCGATTAGGCATACTGGTGGCAGGTAACAACTACCTATGTATGTGTCGTATTATATAGAAGAACAAACTAGCTAGAAATTGCGAGTTTGAGAGAGCTAATCATCATTAAGCCATTAACCAAAAATTGAATGAATTTAGAAATAGAGTTATGACTATCTATTATAAGATAATATAATCATTTTAATTAAATCAATTTTATTGAAAAGACTCGAATTAAAAATAAACGAAAATAATATTATTGACTATATAAGAAATGTATTCCTTTTTTTTACTTATCAAAATAAAAATTAAAAACTCTTATAGAAAAAAGATCAATTAAATCACATGTAATGATAACCTGGACTCGATAATAACAGGCACAGATTACATCATGATTATTTATATGAAGTGGGACTTACAAGTCCACGTGGCTTGCAATGATACAATGATCTAGCCAGGATGGATTTCCAATTTCCACGTCGGCAACAAGTAACGCACCAAACAAGCATTATAATGGGGCCGTCTCATATAATGCCCTGATCACATGATTTAAAGCCCATATTAGTGTTGTCCATTTTAGGGCCCATTGTTATCATTGATCAGATATGATCATGGCCCACTTACTCTATCACCGATAAAGTGTGTGGAGATGCTATTTTTATGTTCTGCTGTGCTGTCTTCAATATTTCCCTTGTAAGGAGAAACATGAATGAAAAGCATGTCCTGCCCTCCTCACCAGTCACCGAGACATTTTTTTTTCCTTTAAAAGAAACTGAAGGAATTATATTTACGTAGAATTATATTTAAAATTATACAATTTAAAATAAATCACATTTAAAATTTTTTCATTTATATTTACACACGATTTAACTTTTCAATGCGTTACACAGTATTCCATAAATAAAATTTCATACAATGATAATGTTAATGAAAATATACATGTCTATATACTTCATAGTCAAAATAAAGTTCACAGCTAATGCTTTTATTAATACAAAATGCTTACAATATGTTAATATTTTCTCGTAAAAAACAATCAAATTGAGTTTTTTTGATTAAATTATAATAATTATAGGGAGTATTTGAAAATTTTAGTAATTTTCTAAAATTAATTAATTTACTGGGCCGACATAGAGAGAATTTTATGATTGCTAATTGGGCTTAAAAATTAATCAGAACCTATACGGAGGACCAAATCCAAATATATGCGTCTAAAAAAACTTATCGTACCTAAATGTACAACTCAAAAAGCTATAAATCCAAGACCTATGAATGTCGCAGACTGCCCATGAATCTTTCCCACTATTTCCAAGCTGCTTGAACTCAAAACGACAATACGAGCAATCTCTCAACTCTCTCTGCAACGATCACACGTCTATTCCCTCCCACTTGTAAGTAACCTCTCGGCCCCTATCTCTCTGACTCTATCTCTACATGAATATGGTGATATTAGTATGTTTTTATTTATTTACGAACTCAGGATGGATAGCGTGCTATTTTTTCTTTTTCTGAAGATGATGTTCAAATTGGAGCTTCAAATTCTAATTGGATAATTTGGATTTTTCATGCTATTGGAAATCGATGCTTTTGTTTTCTTTTTCTTCTTTGGCGTGAATTTGAAGATAGACACATCCAAGAATCTTCTTTTTGGTTTCTGTAGATTCTTCAATCTTCACCTTTTGACGCATGCTTGGCTCTGTAGTTCTTGATTTTCAGCTATTGGGTTAACGGGTTTTCAGATGTGATCTGAGAGTTGTTGAAAGTTGGAGCCTTTATGTTTTCTAGGAGCAGCAACTTGGTTTTTTCAAATGCTTCATGGATGGATAATATGGTTGTACAGAGGCTTTAGTCGAGGAGGAAGAGAAATATTAATGTTACTACTTATTGCATTTCGATCCAAATGGTTTATCATTGATGTTTTAGCAGGGTTACGGTCATGATATAATCTTAGGCTATGATCAATCATCTTGGCCAGCTAGATAGTATCTTCCAACTGCATTATGCTTGTGCCATCTATTTGTGAGATACATTTTTCATCCTCAGCATTGAAAAGTGGAATAGTTTTGAATGTTTTGTATGTGTGTCTAGAACTCGGTACGAGATCTGGACATTTTTGTGCGTGTGTGTATATACACACTCAGCATTCATCTGATTGGCATTTTTCTTTTTTCCGCAAAATGACTAAATAATATACATGTCTATCTCATCTCTAGGCTATTGTTGCTTGTGATTATATGCTTCATATTGTTTGAGTAATCTGTATATAGGAGGACATGTATCAACTGGGTTACAATTTGATAGCTACTAAATTACAGAGCTTTTACATTGTTTATTAATGATAGATGAAGATCTGCCTGTCACTTCTTTCCTTGTGAGCCTGGCCCCCTATTCCCTTGTTAAACTGATGGATCTTGAAGGCAAGACATTTGGAAGGGGTAAGATTTTCTAGTTATTAAGTGTTTTTGCGTAATCTGTCTCATCTGCGTACTTGAACTCTTTTGGTATTAATATAATGGTGTTTTAAACAAAGGTTATTTTTCCTGTTCTTTTTCCTCTATTATTTGAAGAGAGATTTAGGTAGTTTTCCTCTGGTTTTTATTTTTATCTAAGAACTCATAGAGTTTGTAGAGTTGAGTTGTTTGACACTGGATTTTTCCCTTTACAAGAGATTTTGTGATATTGTCAACAAAGTACAAAGGATGTGCTATTGTCTTGTATTTACCTCTACAAAAGGGAAAAAAGTGCTGTGATAGTGTCCTTCAGACCTCGGGTTTTTCTGTATTGTCTTTGAAGCGAGCAAAATGCAATGCGTCTTCTTTTGTAAGTTCATTGAAAGTTCAAACAATATCTGAATCATTTTCATTATTATTTATGCCATAGTCTCTTGAATCATATCCATTCTTTGCTCATTCACTTAGACTCTCGAATTATATATACAATGGCAAAATAGTTACTGTTTGGTTGCTAAATTTTGATATGTTGGGAGTGACTGAATTAGTGATTACAGGTCATTTATCACATTATCATTCCAAAACTGCAAATTTCTCTATATTTGTCTTTATATTTGAGGATCAAGTTTAAATGGAACATCGAAATTTCTCTTATTACCTGGCTGTGTTTCAATTTATGAAAGTTGACCTTTGTTCATGTCACTAGTTTTCAGTCCTATCCATGATTTGGTACGCTTATTATTTGCTGAATGGTTTTGATACACACTTCCTTTCCAGGAATTCTACAAAACTTCTGACTATTTTTGACCTTGTAATTTGACTTTTGAATTCACTGCCTATTGGAGCCTCACGTTGTTAAGTATCACGTGAGGTTTAAACACAGTGATATAGCAATTAGAGCTTTATTGAACCTTCTGATCTTGAAACGATCACTTGGGTGAGCCTTGAGAAGGCAATCTCAACACATTTAAAATTCCATGATTAAAATAATTTAGTGCTTCCTTCTTGAAATTATTTGATAGTTGACATGTTATAGAGGGAGGCGTTTTAATTGCTTCAAGTTTGGTAATTTATAAGGTTTTACTCTGCAGGCCCTCAAGCAATTAATATATGGGACATTCAGGTTTATTTAGGGTAGGAGGTTGTGCACCAAGATATAATACTTAAAATCAGTTTTTGGATTAGCTGATTACAGGGAAGTCTAGACCACTGAAAATTTGTGACTGTTGTAGAGAAAATAATTGGCAGCAGTGTAGGACTGGAATCGAACCAGTCCTTTTCAGCTTTTCTGTTACTGGAACTGTCGGTTCTGGTTCCATTTCTGAACCAAGGGAGGCAGGAACCAGAACTGGCAGGATATCCTCCTTCCCCCCCCCCCCCCCTATATCGGGACATTTCAGTGTTAATATTAGGGGTAAGGAGGTTGTGCACTTTCCAAGATATAATTACTGTAAAATACAGTTATTGTTTTTTATGGGGATTTAGCAATGATTAAGGGAATCTATACACGACTTGAAATATGCTACTTTATGCGTGTATCTTCCGATTTGGTAGAGAAGTATAATAGTGGGACAAGCAAGTCGAGATCAGGAGCTGGAACATCGATGGACCAGTGCCTTTGTCAATCTCAGCACTTTTCTGTTACTGGGGGCAACTGCTCGGTTCTGGTTCCATTTTCTGAACCAAGGGTAGCTGGCATGGGCAAACCAGAAACTGGCAGGAATACCTCCTTACCACCCTACCCCGAGAAGTATAGGAAAGTAAACATCCAGCCCAAGCGGAAGTACATTTTGTCCAACTACTGGTCAGGTTTGTTATGAGCTTTAAAAGCTTCGACTAGTAGGGTTTAGCGAGAAACAGAGGTAGGGGATTGTAGGAATATAAATTATGGCACGGACCAAGGTAAATTATTTGTATTCAAGTAATAAAAAGTAATAACTAAGCCATATCCGTAATGCATTCAATTTTTTCACTTATATGTTATAAACAATAAATTAGAGTCCTTCAGCAGAACCAAGCAACTTATATTTTCGGTTTAGCCATGGCCTCTTTCCACACTGGTTGCTAGGCGGTTAGCTTTCTACCAAGACTTTAATATACCAGTTATTCCTTTTTTCATCAGATAGTGTGTTGTGCCCCCCCCCCCCTCTCTTTCCACTCTGGTTTTGTTATGATTAAAGCTCCTGTGGTTTGCGATGAAAATTGGGGATTGTAGAATATTTTATATGCAGGCACAGTAATATTTGTTTCAGTTAAAGTAATAACTAACATATTAATATTTTTTCATTAATGTTATAATAATTGACATTCAGGCACTTATTTTGGTTTGCCAATGGCCTTTTCCACTGATTCTATTGCTTTCAAACTTTATTATCATTTAGTTCCTTTTCAATTCTGTATCTTTTAATTTGAAGAGAGTTTTTTTCCTGTTCATTTTTTTGTAACAAGGCTCTTTCTGGAATAATCAGGGCAAAGGGAGCTTGGTGGTGCTGTTGATCTCGTAAGTCAGTATAAGCTTTGGCCTCATCATGAATTCTTTTGCAAGAGGTCACTCCCTTTGTCAATATCTGAAACTCGCTATCTCCAGAATGTTGTGGGTGACACAGAAATTAGGAAAGGGGAAGGAATGGAATTGGATCAATTGTTTCATAACACCCCCAATCTGAGAGAGAGAAATGTTCATGCTCGTATACTTCCTTTTGATTTAGGTGTACTCAGGGAGGCCTTTCAGATGAGAGAATCTACTCCTGTTGTCTTACCTTCTGTAAGAAAAATTTCTGCGGATATATTTATATCTTTTGTTTTTGTACATGGAAAATTTATGAAAGAGTGCTGCTTGACAACAGCCTGCTTTCAAGTTTTAAAGACTTTTGTTTTAGCATAACACGTATTTTAGACATGTATATATATGTTAATATCTGAAGTTGACTGTGCTATTCTAAACTGGATCAAATTAACATGACCAAGTTATCTTTTATACAGCCCCCTGAACACATCAAAAACAAAAATTGCTGCTTTGCATATATATTTTTGTTGGCTTAGCATTAGTATGGTGTACCCTATGCTTGAAGTTCTAGTTTTGATTTGTAAATTTATGATTGGGTGGCTTAAAGGAAAAACCATTTTCATTTTTGAAATGGACACTTCTGCTTGTATGGTTGGTTTGCTGTGAACAGGCAGATAAAGGTATCCCTACTCCAGTGATGAAGGCAAGCAGCAAATCCACAAAAGATAAGACAAAGAAGCACAGAAAGCCCAAAGATAAGAATAAGGACAAGGATCATAAGAAGCATAAACATCGCAACAAGGATGGGAGTAATAATAAGGATAGGAAAAGAAGTGGAATAGAACCTGGTCTTGAGAGCTTGAAGAAACAGCATAACAAGGTTTTCACTGAATTGCATTTGCATTGCACTGAGCTTTGAATGGATATTGACTATATAACATTTTTTTTTAAATCACTTGCATTTTTTACATTGCACATTTACCTCTTGCTCCTCTATATATTTCATTTGCTCATGTGTAGTACCGGATGGCACTCAATGACAATTGTTAATTGACCATCTTCTTTCTATATCGTGAAATTAAGTACCCATGTTTAACTTTCTCGGGGTATAATAATCAGGATGGTTAGACCAGGTCTTTGTTCATCTATCACATTATTTTTATGTTACAACTTCCAATCTCTAGATATGCAAAAGTATGGAGTATTTGGTTATTATAATATACACACATGTTCTTTGAAATGAATTTTAAATTTAGAACTACTTTTTTCGTCTCTTGAAACTACTTTCATGTTGCCTAATAGTTGTGATGGTGTTTGATTTATTCATTTAGAGGAGACGGCAAAATGGACTATAAATGTCCTTCTGGCAAATGACAGCCCAACATGAGAAAACATGGTAAGGTATAGTTGGATTACTAAACATACCCAAAAGCCCTCATGTTTCGAATAATATATTTTCCTATCAATTGCTTTGCCAAGCTAACTGTATTTTCCTTCAAGTTTTTCACTTTATTTGGCTGATTGGTTTTTTTTTTTTTTTTGAAAATTATGTCGGACAGACATCATGTGGCATGCTGGGGACTGATGGGTGGGATTGCTGTTTTGTGCTTCTCTCCAGATGTATATTTATGATGGTTTGAGTATAGTCCCAATAGACAATATATAAAAGGAGATTTGAGCGGCAGAAAGATCCCTGATGGTGATGGCTGGTGCCAAGATTGTATCAAGTAGAACTCACAAGCAACTTTATAATGAAAACCATGAAAAAAAACATACTAGTGAATTCTCATTGGAAGTTTTTAATTTATTTTCCTTGATTGCTGTAGCCTAAGTTTTCTCTTATGATCTCTGTACTTATAATCTTTTTTTCTTGGCTTCTTTCGTTCATGTCTTATAATCTCTGTACATATAAAGAAAGTGAAATCATTTGTACATAGATGATGGCAATTGCTAGATTAAAGTTAGACAAACGAAAACAAATACATATATAAAGGGTAAAAAAAGAACTGAACTTTAAGAACAGATGATTCGCTTTAAATTGTTATTTAGGGCATGGCTATGTTCATGGCTGGTATATCGATCAAGATTTTGGTGGTTGGAGCAGCATGGTGTATAGGAAAAATTCATATTAGAGGCAAGTGGCAAATTGGGTCGCCCAACCTTTGCTTGTGTTAGAGAAAGCACTTTTTCTAACCCTGACATGCTCTAATAAAATCTTCTGGAATTTTATATATACTAGTTTTTTGAATGAGGTGCGATCTACTTTAACTATACTCATTTTATATATATATATATATCATAAATTTTGTTTAGATTAAAATAAATATAAATAGTTAATTTGTATTCCACTTTGCCGTACAAATTACTTGTAGTGTTACTTATTATGTATTTGATTTTATTTTTAAATAATGAAGTGATCTTAGAATAAAGTTCAGCACAATCCTAAGACTTAATCCTTTAGTTCATAATTTATAAATGCAGATTTTTAAAACTCTAATATGTGTTTAAAAAGAAAATCAAGTCATTACTCAATCTCCAACCCCTACTCTCTACCCCAAATCAATATCTATATACAATTATAATGAAAAAAATAATAAATTATTTTATTGCTAGGTCAAAGAAAAGAAATGAGAAGATTGTATTGCTAGGCAAAGAAAAGAAATGAGAAGATGATCTGAATTGATAACTAGACATCACTTTTGACTACCAGTGACGCATTATTAATTTACCGCGTTATAGAGAAAAAGGAAATATTGTCAATACTCTTTAAGCTTAAACAATTTAGAAAATACAGAAGAAAAAAATATCAAAGAAACTTAACATGTTTAACCCATCAATAGCCATCTATTTATTGGCAAGAGGAATATAAATCTCTTACTAAATTCTAAAATATACACGTAATACTACAAATATCAGTAATGATAAAAAAATAAAAAGATTATTATTAAGAATAACACTCTTCAAAAAACTCAGTGTCATACACAAACAAATACTTCTGAATATATAGTAGATATATAGATGTATCAATAGGCAGAATATTATGTATATTTTTTTAAAGATTAAAATTTCAATTGGTTTCACATCCCATATTAAATTATGTAATTTCTCTTTGAAAATTTACTATTTTTAAAAAAATAACCAGATCATAATAGGACCAAACTAAAAATAAAAAAAATTAATCATAAATATATACTTTTTCTTTCTTCTTTTTTATAATCTCTCCAAATAGAAATATTAATATATACAATTCCTATTTGGAACAATTTTTTTAAAAAAAATATAAATTCAACTCTATTATACAGAACATAAAGAAAAAAGCAATATTAATAAAAAAAATATATTTTTTTATCTATATCTTAATAAGAATTAAATATTTAAATAAATGAAATATACAATATTTCAAATTTCTCATTATCATATATAGTTCATTAAAAATAATTTAATTAAATATAAAATTAAATTTTGACACTGCTTAATTATATATCATGTACTTTGTTTAAAAAAAATATTTTTTTCTTCCCTATCATATAGGAGGCCTGATGGCCGAAATATACTTCGCAGCTATGACAAAAGATAAACTTGGTAAATCAACCTAACAAAAAAATTAAAATAAATAGATATATAAATATATCAATAAAATAATATTTTTTAAAAAATTAAAATTTTCACTGTTTACCATGTAAGTTTACATTATATTAATTCTATTAAAAATTTCTTTTTAAAAACAATTTATCAATCAAATTTTACGATATAAAAACAAGAACATTAAAAAATAATAATATTTTTTCTTTTTTTTTTTTATCTTCCCTAAATAAAATATTATTTATTTCTTTATTGAAAATTTATTTATTTTTTTTAAAATATCCAATCAAATATTATATATAACACTAAAGAAAAAAAATATTTTCTTATTTTCATATTATTATCTTTCCTAAAAGAATCTTAATATTTAACTAAATAAAATACTAAACAAAATTTTCAAAATATTCATTATCAATATATATTTTCAAATATCTCATTATCATATATATTCGTTAAAAAAAAAAAATCTAATAAAGATAAAACTTAAAATTTTGAAATGCTTAATTATTTATATGTATTTATTTAAAATTATTTTTTTTATTCACTAGGAGGCCTGCCGGGCTAAAATAAAAAATAATTTTTACAAATTATATTCAATCAACTGACAAATTGTGATTTTTTAATTAGCCGTCATTAAAAATATCTAAGAACATTTTAAATTTCATTAAGGGTGATATAAAAAATCTCATTATTCCCCACTATTTCGACTGTTATGTATAATATATATTCTTTTTCAAATTTTCTCCATTTCATCGTAATATATGGGATGGATACAGAGTTTCTTCCCATCTGAATTTTGGTTAGGCGTTCACCGGAGCCATGCGGTGGAGCCATCTGCAAGTAGTTTCAGGCAGAAAAGTAAAATCCGGCAAGCAATTGAGGCTGATGAGATTCCTTACACTAACATTGTCTCAAATGAATTTGCTGGATACTTCTTGCCTATTTTGGGACAACCAAATGCCAAATTCTTCTTAGAGACAAGCTTGTCATATTGGGAGTGCGACATGGAAATGCAAAAAGTGATATAATATAAGCTAAACCTTTCTTATTTAAAGAAAAATATACCACTTGAGCTAATCTCTTTCGATTATTTCTAATATCTCGGCAATTCTGGTTGCTGAAGAAGATATAGCAACTTACACCATTAAAGCAATGGACGACCCAAAAACATTGAACAAGATCTTGTATACGAGGCCACCTGCCAATACTTTGTCCCGGAATGATATAGTTGCGATATGGGAGAAGAAGATTGGCAATACCCTTGAAAAGATCTATGTTGCTGAAGTTGCTTAAGAATATCAAGGTTTGATTATTTCTATAATGAATTCTTTAATTTTAGTTTAGTGGAATTGAAATTTATAAATTTATTATGAAATTAAAGAAAAATTTACTCCAGTCTTTTAATGTATGTGGAAAGGCTCCTCCTCCAAGAAATTTGTCATTAAGGCTCCGTTTGTTTATAAAATAACTTGTATTAAAATAATTTGTTAAAAAATATTTTTATAGAAAACATTTTCTTTAAAAAATATTTTTCAAATGACTTATTTTCTCTCGTTTGGTTGTAATATTGAAAAATTAGTTGAAAATATTGAAATCTTTATCTCATAAGACCATTAATAATAGAAATTTTACAATTTAAAAAATTTATTGTTAAACATGAAAAGAATGCAAAATATATATATATATATATATATTATATATATATAAAATTCATGGAAGCCCCCGAGCCGTGTGGTGGTACGGGTGGTATATATATATATATATAAATTATGAAAGCCCCCGGTAGCCGGTGGTGGTGGTCGGTGGTAAATCGTGACGGGTGATAATGGCTATGGTAATAAATAAATTAAAAAATATGAATTTATAAGATTTGTTAATATCCGAAAAATATTTTACTCTTTCAAAAATAGAAAGTTATTTTCTTTAAAAATGACTTAATTTTGCTTTGATCAGAAAAATATTTTTCCTTGAATTGTTTTCTTGAGCGCCCAAACAATTAAAAATTGTAAAAAATATTTTACTGCAAATTATGTTACGGAAATAAACGGATACTAAATGTTCAATTAAAATGTCCAGGTGTCATTAAATACATCAATAACTTCTGCTAAATGGCTATTGGGTTCTCAAATTTGACAAATGAAAGTAACATTACCAACCAAAGCAAATATTAATTGCTAATTGAGTGAATTTAATTATATTTATCAAGTATCAGCCTCTTTCTTTTCTTTTTAATCATCAGAAATATTCGATTTCCTGAACTATGAAATATAAACATCGGATATAATTAAGATAATTAATGTGACCATTGGAAAAAACCATTAAGATAATTTATGTGAGGGACCGTTGGAATATAGAAGAATGTTAGTTATGCTAACAGCTAGTGCCGACTAGGACTGACAGCATAACTAACATTCTTCTAGAATAAATTAATTAATCCGCACCGTTTTACTTAATTCCTTCTTTTGTTTGCTGTGTTGCCTTTTGTTCAAAACTCCCCGTTTCATCTCTTTGAGTCTAAGTCTCCTAATAAAATGTTTATTCTCTAAACAAAAACCAGACTAGCTAGCTACTTCCATTACAGATTAAAAAAATCGAAAAAAGAAGACGAAGGTTTCCATGGCTGAGAAAAACAAAGTTCTTGTAGTTGAAGCAACAGGGCACATAGGAAAATTCATAGTAGAGGCAAGTTCAAAACTAGGTCACCCAACGTTTGCATTTGTCAGAGAACTCACTATTTCTAATCCTAACAGGTCCAACCTCATCCACAGTTTCAAGAGCTCTGGAGTGACTATCCTCTACGTAAGTTCCTAAAATTAACCAGCTAGTATTTTTAATTTATTTTTTTTTTAAGGAGTATATTTTTAGTTAATTACCATTATTAATTTGTGATTTTTTACAGGGAGATATCTATAATCATGAAAGCTTAGTGAAAGCGATCAAGCAAGTTGATGTTGTGATCTCAGCAGTTGGAGGATTGCAGGTGCCTGATCAAACCAAGATTATCGCTGCCATAAAAGAAGCCGGCAATGTCAGTGTATGAATATACGTCGACGTTTCTAACACTCCATTAAATGTAATAATAGAATTTTTTTTAAGAAAATAATTTAGTCGTTGGATGTACACACGTGCATATAGAGATTTCTGCCCTCAGAATTTGGCACAGAAGTTGACCGTAGCCAACCGGTGGAGCCAGCCGCAACATTTTTCCGGCAAAAAGTTAATATCCGGCGAGCTATTGAGGCTGCGGAGATTCACTGCACTTACATAGTCTCCAGTGGCTTTGCTGGATTTTTCTTGCCTACTTTAGGACAAGCAATGTCCAAGCTCCTCCGAGAGACAAGATTGTCATCCTGGGAGATGGAAACCCTAAAGGTACACAAAATTTGACCATCTAATTAATAATTTAATATAATTTTTAAAGAAATTAATAGTTCTTACAGGATGTTATTTTAATGTTTTTGTCACTAATTTTGGTGGCTGAAGAAGATACAGCAACTTACACCGTAAAAGCAGTGGATGATCCAAGAACCTTGAACAAGACCCTGTATATAAAGCCACCTGCCAATGTTTTATCATTCAAAGAAATAGTTGCTATATGTGAGAAGAAGATTGACAATACCCTTGAAAAGATTTATGTTCCTGAACAGCAACTGGTTAAAAATATTGAATGTTTGATAAATTATCTAAAATCAGTTATACTATGGATTTATTTTTTCGATTGAGAAATATTTAGAGTATAATCAAGTTGAGTCAAATTGATATAGATTTTGTCTAGTTTGGCCAAATTAGAAAACGCAGACTCCAATTCAATTAAATTTCAATTTTTCAAATAGGGATCAAATTAAAATTGATATTAAAAAACAGTTATAGATTAATTATTTACGAAATTCATTTTTTTTTTTTTTTTTGGTTTTGTGCATGTGCAGAAGCTCCTTCTCCAATGAATTTAATAATGGCTCTTAGCCACTCTGCATTCGTGAAGGGAGAAGCTATAAACTATGAGATTGAGGAATCTTTTGGGGGTAGAAGCCTCTGAGATTTATCCAGAAGTCAAATACGCTGCTGTTGATCAGTACCTTGATAAGTTTGCTTAAAATTTCAAGTAAAATAAATAAATAAAATTTATACACTAGTGTGGCGGCTGTCATTTATATCATATGATATTGAACTCCAGAGGAATTAGCAACAAAATAGTATAGTTGAAAAAAAAAAATTACAGAGGAAATCCCATTTCTTTTGCATTTAAATAAATCATTCTTGCAATAATATTATATAAAGAAGATTGTCAACTGTTAGGATGAATTTCTTAATTTATTAATCTCTTTTGATATTTGATTGATTACATACCTAAAATTAGGACTAATCTACGAGATTAAAATTTGATTTGTATATCGTTGAATGTATTTCCATTTCAATAAAGATAGTGGAAATTTTAAAGCATATTTTGCTTCAAAATAATAATAATAATAATAATAATAATAATAAAGCAAGCTTAATTATTATTGTAATAATCGTTATAAAATATAATTGTCATTTATCTTTTAATTTTTGTCTTATTTTTACGTAAACGTCCCATGTTACGGATAAATGATAAAACTTACTGATCTCTGTAAGTTTAAATGAACAAATAACTTCCCATTGCCTATATCTTCGAAGATTTAGAATAATAACCAGAAGGTGTCTCTCAAAATTTCTAAGACATCAGAACTTTATTTCGAATTGAGAGAACTTATCAAATGGGATATATGGGAAAAATAATTGGACATATACTTGGAGCAGAAGATTCAAGAGGTTCTTAAGATGGCATTTGCATGTTCCCGAACAACCTTCCAAGCCATAATGACATGGTGATCTTCTGTAAGAGTGGCACCAACAGCAAACCTCATGAAATAAACTCCACCAACCATCCCATGAGTCATAAAAATGCATCCTGAGGCATTAATTGACTCCAATAATCTTCTATTCAGTTCATTTGCAAGTATCTCACGATCAGGCAATATTTGAACTCCACCTTTTCCCATTTCAATGGCTCCTGGTACAATCCTGAAGCAAACCATTGCAAAATTCCTCGGCACAACTATCTCAAACCTTTTGTCCTCTCTTACAAGTCCTTCAAAAACTTTAGCCATTTCGACATGCTGTCTGAGGAATGTTCTAAGATTACCCACGCCATAGCTTCTCAACACAAGCCAAAGTTTCAGTGACCGAAACCTTCTGCTTAGAGCTATTTGCCAGTCTTTATAATCTATAACTTGTGCTGAATCAGAAGCTTTGTTCTTTAAGTACTCAGGATTTGTTGAAAGGGATTTTATAAGAGCGTTTGGATCCTTAACCCAAAGGCAGCAACAAACTTGTGCTGAATCAGAAGCTTTGTTCTTTAAGTACTCAGGATTTGTTGAAAGGGATTTTATAAGAGCGTTTGGATCCTTAACCCAAAGGCAGCAACAATCAAGATTTGTCAAAAGCCATTTATGTGCATTCAGACTGAAAGAATTTGCATCCTCTAGTCCATCAAGAAAATGTTGAAACTCTGGACATATACAGGCGTTTCCGGCATAAGCAGCGTCCACATGAACCCAAATGTTATATTCTCTCGCTACATCGCATAATGGCCTCAATGGATCAACAGCTGTGGTTGAAGTTGTGCCTATGGTTGCACAGAGAAACAACGGGATTAGACCTTTTTCTATATCTGATTGAATAGTTACCCTCAGTGAATCAGGAGATAGCGCGAATAATGTTGATTTAGTTGTCTTAATAGCCCGAAAATTCTCTGGATTAATTCCAGCTATCTGAGCCGCCTTTTGGAGTGCAGAATGTGTTTGGTCAGAAGCATAAACAACTAATTTTCCAATTTTTTCCTTGCCAATACCACGTAACATTTGATCTCTTGCAGCGATTAGAGTGCATAAAATGGCTTCACAGGTAGTGCCTTGAATAACACCACCACCACTTCCGGAGAAAAGAAAACAGCTTGGAAGCTGAAGTACTTGACCAAGCCAATCCATTACAATGCTTTCTAATTCAGTTGCGGCTGGAGAAGACAACCAGTTGAATCCAACGATATTAAAGCCAGTGCAAAGCATTTCTCCAAGAAAAGATGCAGTGCTTCCACTTGCAGCGAAGTACGCAAAATAGTTAGGACTCTGCCAATGTGTAATGCCTGGAAGTATATGTTTTTGCACATCTTGGAGAATAGTTTCTATAGTTTCAGGATTGTGAGGGGCAGAAAGCGGCAAGCGTTTTCGAAGATAACCAGGTTCAACCTGGCTTAAAACTGGGTGTTTTTCGATGTTCTGATAATAATCAGCAATGAAGTCTACAATCATGTGGCCCTGCCTTCTAAATTCGTCTGCGTTTAAAGGGTTCGGAATTTTGTGCTTGTTGTGGATGTCTACGTTGAAATTATGGCTGCCCATTTGAAATGCAAGGTAATAGAAATCAAAATGATGGTTATAACTTTACACTTTTTATGGCTTTATAGCGTAGACTGTGTAGTATTACCCTGCGAATTATTATTTATTTATTATTATTTATTTTAATAAACAATTGAAATAATATGGTAGAATTGAAACTAGTATTATTTTTAAAACAGAATAAAATTGATAATACTAAGATTTTAAAAGATTAAAAATGAAAATGAAATATTATGGGGTTGTTTATTACTTTCTACTTTCTAGATTACTCGAGTTTTTAAGGGTTTATCATTTTGTACTTGTCTTCAATTTCTTGATTGAACTTACTAATTGCCCATTTGTCAATGGACATAAATAACAATAATATCCTATGGATGGAAGTAATTATTATTTGTAATATTACTTTAAAGAAAAAAAAAATGCATGGTCCGGTCCTATTTATGGAGTAAGGACAACATATATATCTATCTATCTATCTATATATATATATATATATATTAGATGTAGTAGTTATGTACCTCATTAAATTAACAAATTCTTGAAATTCTTGTGTTTGTCTTTTTAGTTTTGAAGAGTCTCAATTTTTCTGCTTGATTTTTTTATTGTGACATTCAAATTCGTTATAATTAGTAATAAAAAAAATAAAAAGCAAAAGATGAATTTCATTAGGGATGGAATTGCTAATTATGAAGAATTTTTATTTCTAAATAAGTAAATATGCTTACCTAATCTCCTTTAAAACATTTTTATAGGAATGCTTTTTAATAATTGTTTTACTTAAAACTAATTAAGGGCAAAAATAAAATCAACTATCCATAATATTTTTATTTTAGTTTTAACATTAGGGATGATGAAGTAAATTTAGTCTTAGTGAGTAATTATTTAGTGTATTTTATTAAAATAAAAAGCAATTTATATTTTATAATTCAAGAAATTAACTTGAAAATTATTTTCATATAATTGGTTGCATGCACAAGATTGGCTGTGTTTCAATCCAAAGGCCCCAAATATGTTTCACCTACCAACAACTTGACTCAGCTGATGATACATTAATTAGTAAGCACCTTATTACAATAAATTAGAAAAGAAAATACAAATAGATCGCAAACTGCATTTTTTAGTTAATTTTATTTATAAAGTTAGGGATTTGAAACTGAATGATACGTTTAAAGAGTTATATTCATGTAGTTGATTTTGAGACTCAAATCCTAATTAACAATTTAAGAATGAAATTCATGAAGCAAATTTTACATTTATGGGGGGTTAGGAAAGGGTATTTTCAGTCTAGCGTCAATTTGCCCTAATTTAGATATGCTAAGTGATCAATTAGGCTGGAAATTGATAGAGATTTTTCATTGAAGTCTGGCCTTCTCGATAATATGAATTTGGATGGAATTTGGTAACAAAGTAAGGTACAACGTGTTAGAATAAAATTGAAAATTAAGATGTTAATGTATACCGATAAAATTATGTATTTCTAAAAATATATGCGTAATATTATATATTATGACAAGATATATCGATAAAATAATATTAAAATGTATATATTTGGCATTAGTGGTGATTTCAATATATATAACGAATGAATAACGATATCTACATTACCTTATTGTCACGGCTCCAATGAATTAAGTCTGGAAGTTGCAATTCAGACTTAACAAAACCCTGAAGAGAGAGAGATTAAAATTTGAATTTTGTTGCACAGATAATAAAACTTAGATCAAATTACGTGATTTTTCATATAGTACGTGTTCCTAGATTAAGAAAACGACAATTCATTAATTTGATGTCAAAGAGCTGTTCTATATATATATATATATAAAATACTCCATAGTCAGTAATCTATGCCTCTCTTGTCAAATTCAGGCCAAATATTAGTCTTGTGCAATGGTATTTACAGTTAGTAGAATCCGTATATATTAGGTTTATTAATTTTATGGATGAGTAATAGATATGTGGTCTTAAGATCGATTCATGGATTAAATCAATAAAAAATGATTATTTTTCTTAAAATGAGGTATTTCAAATCATATATTTGATAAAAAAAAAAGATAAATTAGAAATACTCATTAATAGTGCAGGCCAAATCAAGGTCTTCTTGTCTTTTTCTTTTCTCCGTTTATTTTTTAATAATTAAAAGTCCTTTTATTCTAAATCTAGATATATAATTTGTTGTTCAGCATCTAATTTTAGAATCATTTATTAATCCCCTCAGTTACTACTCATATGTCTTTCAGGCCTAAACACATAATTTTTCCCTCCTGAAAGATAACTATTGCAATGCAATCTTGTAAGGCTCTTAAAATCTGTGATCGCTGCCAACGTTTTTTGCATAGAATAATGACCTGACAACAACGTGTTCATCAAAATTCCGAAGCTAATCAAAACTAAACTTCTCACATTTTTCAAATTATTATTGACATGCCTAAAAGAGACATGTTACATCCCAGGACAGGAAAATAAAGCTCAAAAGAAAACAAAAACAAAAGTCAAAAATCACAACAGCATTGGACATATATAGGTAGGCATATATATGGAGCAGAAGATTCAAGACATTCCTAAAATGGCATTTGCATGTTCCCGAACAACCTTCCAAGCCATAATGACATGGTGATCTTCTGTAAGAGTGGCACCAACAGCAAATCTCATGAAATAAACTCCACCAACCATCCCATGAGTCATAAAAATGCATCCTGAGGCATTAATTGACTCCAATAATCTTCTATTCAGCTCATTTGCAAGTATCTCACGATCAGGCAACATTTGAACTCCATCTTTTCCCATTTCAATGGCTCCTGGTACAATCCTGAAGCAAACCATTGCAAAATTCCTTGGCACAACTATCTCAAACATTTTGTCCTCTCTTACAAGTCCTTCAAAAACTTTAGCCATTTCGACATGCCGTCCGAGGAATGTTCTAAGATTACGCACGCCATAGCTTCTCAACACAAGCCAAAGTTTCAGTGACCGAAACCTTCTGCTTAAAGCTATTTGCCAGTCTTTATAATCTACAACTTGTGCTGAATCAGAAGCTTTGTTCTTTAAGTACTCAGGATTTGTTGAAAGGGATTTTATAAGAGCGTTTGGATCCTTAACCCAAAGGCAGCAACAATCAAGATTTGTCAAAAGCCATTTATGTGCATTCAGACTGAAAGAATTTGCATCCTCTAGTCCATCAAGAAAATGTTGAAACTCTGGACATATACAGGCGTTTCCGGCATAAGCAGCGTCCACATGAATCCAAATGTTAAATTCTCTCGCTACATCGCATAATGGCCTCAATGGATCAACAGCTGTGGTTGAAGTTGTGCCTATGGTTGCACAGAGAAACAAACAGCTGTGGTTGAAGTTGTGCCTATGGTTGCACAGAGAAACAACGGGATTAGACCTTTTTCTATATCTGATTGAATAGTCACCCTCAGTGAATCAGGAGACATTGAAAAAAATGTTGATTTATTTGTCTTAATAGTTCGAAAATTCTCTAGACTAATTCCAGCGATCTGAGCTGCCTTTTGGAGTGCAGAATGTGTTTGGTCAGAAGCATAAACAACTAATTTTCCAATTGCCTTTTGGAGTGCAGAATGTGTTTGGTCAGAAGCATAAACAACTAATTTTCCAATTTTTTCCTTGCCAATACTACGTAACATTTGATCTCTTGCGGCGATTAGAGTGCATAAAATGGCTTCACAGGTAGTGCCTTGAATAACACCACCACCACTTCCGGAGAAAAGAAAACAGCTTGGAAGCTGAAGTACTTGACCAAGCCAATCCATTACAATGCTTTCTAATTCAGTTGCGGCTGGAGAAGACAACCAGTTGAATCCAACGATATTAAAGCCAGTGCTAAGCATTTCTCCAAGAAAAGATGCAGTGCTTCCACTTGCAGCGAAGTACGCAAAATAGTTAGGACTCTGCCAATGTGTAATGCCTGGAAGTATATGTTTTCGCACATCTTGAAGAATAGTTTCTATACTTTCAGGATTGTCAGGGGCAGAATGCGGCAAGCGTTTTTGAAGATAACCAGGTTCAACCTGGCTTAAAACTGGGTATTTTTCGATGTTCTGATAATAATCAGCAATGAAGTCTATAATCATTTGGCCCTGCCTTCTAAATTCATCTGCGTTTAAAGGGTTCACAGTTTTGTGCTTGTTATCGATGTCTAGGTTGAAATCAAGGCTGCCCATTTGGAATGGAAATGTAAGAGAGAATGAAAATGATAGTTAAGGCTTTTGCTTTGCTTTGTATTTTATTGGTGCATGTTTTTCCATGCAGGGATATGGGAGTCTATTTATAGTTGTAGTGATTCAATACATCCATGTTTATTATTATTATTATTATTATTATTATTATTATTATTATTATTATTATTTTGCTCAAATCAGGTGGCTACAGAGATAGTGGACGGGTCGATGGAGTGTGGAAATCGTGAAAAAGTTTTTAGCTCTCCTTATGAGTTGGTTAAACTTCTATTATTATCTTCAAGTGAATTGATATGGCTTATTGCTCCAACTAATACCTAGTTTGGCTTATATTTTTACGGTACAAATCCTACTTTCTCTACTTTTTTTCAAGGCACTCCAACCACTTTCTATTTACATTATGACTTCGTCCCTATAAAAGATAGAAATTATACAAATAAAGTTTTTTTTATCATAAAATGTGGAAATGATAGTGTTATCTCTTCTTATTGTTAATCTATAATTAAAATTAAAATTAAAATCTCAATTTCCTTTTAGCAGTCAAATGATGAGTAGAGCCTAAAACTGAAAACAAAAGGTGGATGAAATGTTATTGTACTTGAAGTGTTTCAATCCCTTTTTCCTCTTTAGATTATTGTTTATAGGACAATACGAGGAGCCACACTTGAAAAAACAACCTTGTAAAATACAAATCTGAGGAAATACAATGTTCTAGTAACTATATAATTTTATCAATTTATTATTAAGGTGGCTATGAGTAAAATATAGAAACCACAATTAGGTGAATTTGTCACATTCTTCTCACCAAAGCATATTGGTTGTTTATGAAGACATATGAATGCAACTAAACGCATTGAAAATTGTACTAGAGAAAGTTTACTTTTTTTTTTTTAAAAAAAAAAAAAAAAAAATTTACTTTTTTTTGTAAAAAAAAAAAAAAAACGTTAGATTAGGAAGTTTAATTACGGTGTGTTCTACTTCTTTTTTTTTTTTAAAAAAAAAAAAAAAAAAAGTTAATTAGGAAAGTAATTACAGGTGTGTTCTATCTAATTTCAATGTTCTTTCTTAGAAATTATCAACAATTGTCATGTGTTTATATAAATATGTGCCATGCATTACATTCCACTAACTAAAACATAATATGAATATCTAGAATTTGCATAGTGAAAATTAAAAAAGAAACTCAATTATTAATACTAATATTAATTAAAAAAATTAGTATTACTAAATTCATAATCAATAATTCCAGACATATATGATTCATTTATTTTAGATTTATAAATCTTTTAAACAAAAATTCTGCAAATGTAAAAATTTAATGCACACAGCAAGCCCCAGAAGATGTGATTGAAAATTGTAAGCTATTTTACTATTTAATAATAATATATACAATTATAGATGGGATACATTTGACTAGAAATGATTCAAGTCCTTTAAATAAAAAAAAATAATATTTACAATTAATTATCTTATTGTAATAATTCTCAGGGAATAATTAATATCACAATAATAATAATTGGTGATTGTGATTGTATCGGAGGGGGGATGCTCTCGCTGAGAGAAGAAACAAAAAAACACTCAATCCAACTCTTCATATTGAAAAAGCCCTTAATAGTAGAATTAGTTGGATTAAATCCAATTATTCAAAATGAATATTAGGGGTCCGATTCTCCACATTCAACATCATTGAAAATGACATTTTCCTAACAACATTACAATAATTATTGGAAATGACATTTTCCTAACAATATTATAATAATTTTGCCAAAGAAAAAAAAGTAAATTATTTCAAAATATATCATACATAGCACAAATATAAATTTCCCAATACAAAATTATTTAAATTTCCATATATCAAAGTAGTTTCTATATCTTGCCAAATAATTTTATAGGTTCATTATTAATTAATTAAATGTAATCCGATTGGTCTACTTAATTATTTATGAGAGAGTGTGTGGTTTTAGTTTTGAATCCTCTCGAGAACAAAAGTTTTCACCGATTTAATATTAAGAATTATATTAATTTATATTGAATTCAAATATTGTGGTGTAAATTTCTTAATACTCTCCCAATTACACAAAATGAGACTAAAAAACAGACGAGGGAAAGGGTTAATAATGCATATATAGCAAAAATTTCTTATTAAAATTAAAATATTATGGGTGAATAATGTTTAATGTTGCCCTAATTAAATAATCATGATAACAAATATTCAATTGCAATAATTAAGAATTACTCGCAAGCACTTAAACTCATCCTATTGGGAGGAGAATGGCAGGTAAAGAATAGAATGGCAGATAATGGAAACAAACAGATGCACCTGATCCCTGAACATTGATGGGAGACTTTGCCCTTACTTACAGGATCATAGTTTTACAGTTCTCAATTCATGATGGCAAGAGTCCAGTATGAGAAAGTCGACAAAAGTGGGCCAAGGTACTCGACAGCAAAACATAAAAGTGTATTTCATCCATATATCTATAAATTCAAGAGATTCATGTGAAATAAGTGTCATATTGCATGTTTATCATATGATCGGCTATGTTCAATAGATTTTAGGTTTTGTTGTGTTTTTGGATCCAAATGATACTATTAAAATACCAAATATCAAAATAATTAACCTTATTCATGCACATCAGTCCCGACATGCAAAATCTATTTGAGATGACGATGTTTCTTTTTTCATAAAGATAGAAGATTTATAAAAGTATTTATTACTTTTTTTATCTCGATATATAAGTCATTTAAGTTTTTTACATAATGATTAAAGAAGTAATTAATTTTCCTATATTATAACAAATTCAAGAGTAATTTGACCAAATTATCCTTTATCTCAAAATCAATAATTGCTTTTGAAGTATTTATTATATTTAGTGTAAACAAGGGCAACATTGAAAAATATCATTTATTACTTATTGAAACGACTTATATTTTGGGACAAATGAAGTAAATTACATTTTGTTGAATCAAATGATTTTATTTCTTTAATTAGTTTACCAATTATTGATGAGAGATAGTATATTTTATTTTATATCTTTATTAACACGTGCATAAGAAAATTTTAATAATAATTAAAATATTTATTTATTTTATCTCAAAATTTCTTTTGCTCAATGCACTTTTCTGCTTTGATCCGGGTTCAGTTTCATACAGGAGAAAAAGATTGGTCTTTGGGCCTAGCTATTTTATTTGTTTAACATGTTTATACTTTTGTCTATGGGCCAATCTACTTCCAGAACTCTAATCTGGCCTAGTCCAAGTGGCCCAACTTCCATGCTTTTCTACTCTGACCTTTTTTATTAAAAAAAATATGATCTCACTGATCTTTTCTTGACACAAGTATTTAACATTCGAATAGAATGGCTCGTAGGTCTCTCTGTGGTATGATAGATGGGTTGGAGATTTCACGATCCCAATAATAGATATATGCCTAAATACTATTAAGGCAAAGTCCTTTCAATTAATAATAGTTTTGAATTTTATATAATTTTAGATATTTCAATTTGTGTTCAATATTCTCAATCTTATGAAAATTGAAGCCGCTTACCATTCTAATCAATACATAATGAATGAATACAATATTTTTTTAATAGTAAAATCATAAGTTGAAATTTCAATAAAATGTAATTAATATTTAAACGCCCAAAATAGAAACTTTTAGTTAAACTCTCAGTCCCAAACTCTCAACTACTGAGGTAGGGCAAACAAGCAAGAGAGTATTTGCATTTTACTTTTGGAATCATATATAAAGACAAAATGATTGGAGCTTAACCATTAAATTTGAATTGGATTTGCAAATAATATAGGGCTTTAATCTTATTACCTAAGAATAATACCTTCCAAGAAATTACACTCTTTCCATATTTGCCTAACATGATGAATCAAGGAAAAAAAATAAAGGAGTAGGTGATCAATTGTTTGACCTAGTCCATGCAATTATATGAAGAATCATTAACTAATGAATTAGCTTCCCTAAGCAAAACTTAATTTTATTTTTTCCTTTTAATGATATGTGATATATAATATTTCCTTCTTTTTTTTTTTTTTTTTTTTCAATTATGCACATTAAAGACAAATTTTCATTTTCGTTTTTTTTTTTTTTTTTTTTTTGTTATGCTCAATTTATGCACATTAAAGACAAATTTTCCATTTTCGTTTAATCTTTGTATTTCATTAAACAGAATTATTTGAGAATTATAATGGGAATTCAATTCTTAACCAGATATCCTTTTTGCCAGTAGAAACATAGGAGGAAAGATTTAATGGAAGCTTTAAGACACCAATGGCTGCTAACTCAAGCTTCTCGATCAATTAGGTTTGCTATTGGTCTATTTAGAATGTTCTGGTCAAATAAATACTATATTTAATGTATATTATTATATATTAGTCTTTCTCCACATCACGTGAGTCCAATTTTTTTCTCTCTTTTAATCCGTTCTGTCTCCATTAATGTCTCTGATCTCCATGAATATAATAATATTGCACGTCGAGGAAGAAAAATGGTCAACTGTACCACTGGTTTTGGTTTGGTCCAATTTTGAGGGTGAGCCGTTTCCAAGAATGCCTTAAGCAACCTTCCTGGCGTGCTTGAAATTCAAATTCTATTCTCATCTATCCAGAAGTTATATATAAACCCTTCTTTAATTCCGTTTCCATAAAAAGGATCGCTTTCATTATAATTCTGTCAATCAAAATCAATCTTTTAAGACCACCAATCATGGAGCTGCCACCATTGAAACGACGAGTCTTAGCAGAGAAAACAAGATCAAGAAAAACAAGAAGAGTATGGAAGTTAAAGCTTAATATAACATGGCAAGCTATCAAGAAAGCATTTACAAGCAAGAACCGTCTTCTTCGATTAAGTTGTGTACAGCTTTCCACGATTAATATCCATCAAGATGCCAAAAAAAGGAAAAATTCTAGCAAACCCCATAAAACCTTGGCAAACCTTCTTCATGTACCTTATACAGCATCTGATTTTATTGATAGAGGAGATCAAATGACACCTACACTATCTCCGAAAGAGAATGTATCAGCAAAATGGCGCGAGATCCATGGTTCTTGCAACTGGGAGAATCTTCTAGATCCTCTTGACCCATGTCTTAGACGAGAAATTCTCAAATATGGAGAATTTGCTACTGCAACTTATGATGCTTTCGATTTCGATCCTTTATCGGAGTATTGTGGAAGTTGTAGATATAACCGGCACAAGATTTTTGAAGAATTAGGGCTTAATAAGCATAATTATAATGTGACTAAGTACATTTATGCAATGTCACATGTAGATGTGCCTGAATGGTTTGTTAGGGCACATAGTATATGGAGCAAAGATTCTAATTGGATGGGATACGTTGCTGTTAGCAATGATCAAGAATCCAAAAGACTTGGCCGGAGAGACATAGTCGTGGCATGGCGGGGCACGGTGGCGCCAACCGAGTGGTTTACCGACTTAAAGACTAAACTAGAAGAAATAGATGAAGAAAATGAAAAAATTAAGGTACAATATGGTTTTTATAGCATATATAAATCTAAAAGTGAGTTCACTAGGTATAATAAGTTGAGCGCATCAGAGCAAGTTATGCAAGAAATAAGAAAGTTAGTTAATTGTTATAGAGAAAATGGTGAAGAAGTTAGTTTGACAGTTACTGGTCATAGTTTAGGAGGGGCATTAGCCGTTCTTAATGCTTATGAGGCAGCAAATTCAATTCCTAATCTTTTTGTTAGTGTTATTTCTTTTGGTGCACCTAGAGTTGGGAATTTAGCATTTAAAGAGAAACTTAATGAATTAGGGGTTAAGACCCTTAGGGTGGTTGTTAAACAAGATATAGTACCTAAAGTTCCTGGGATTATAGTGAATAAAATTCTAAGGAAGATTAATACAATCACTCAAAGATTGAATTGGGTTTATAGGCATGTGGGAACACAGTTGAAGCTTGATATGTTCATGTCACCCTATTTGAAGCATGTATCTGATTTTTCAGGGTCTCATAATTTGGAAGTTTACCTCCATTTATTAGATGGGTTTTTGGGAAAGAAATTGCAGTTCAGATGGCATGCAAGGAGAGATTTGGCTTTGGTGAATAAGAGCAGTGATATGTTGATAGAAGAGCTAAAGATACCTGAGTTTTGGTATCAGTTGCCACATAAAGGGCTTGTTTTGAACAAATATGGCAGATGGGTTAAGCCAACTAGAGAACCTGAAGATATTCCTTCACCATTTAGTACTGAATTATCGAATCATGAGCTAACATTTTAGATTTGTTGTTTGTGTTGTCTGTTATTATTATATTTCTTTTCCTTTTTTCTGATTTGTAAAGGGTAGTAGCCTAATGATTGAGTTTCTGTCCTGCAAAATGCAGTAAGTTTTGAGAATTTGTAATGTACCAACACAAAAAGGCTCTTCTAGTGCAAATAAAATTCTTGCATCAAATTTAACTATGCTATAACATTAAAAACAGGATCGCTTTACATAACATCCAAACAAAAACTACCAAAAAACCAAACAAAAAAGAGAATAAGGAAAGGACTTCCTATGGTACAAACAACTAATGAATGATCCCTTTCTAACTTAAAATATGAACAGAAGAGGAAATACAGAAGTTCGAAGTGGAAATACAGAAGTTCTGCTGCAAGATTTTCAAAACATGGGAAGTGAAAATACAGAAATGCACATCAAGCTGCAAATGATCCCATTCTTGAAACTTGTGATAATGCATCTTCAAACTGATCTTCATCAACCTTTTCAGAGCTCAAGCTTGGTGGGATGAATGATCTGAAAACTTGTTCCATGTTAGGAACTTCCTTCAGCTCGCAACAAGCAACTTCAAGAGCTGTGTTACAAAAAGATCGGTAGAATTTCTTCTTACAGACGAAGAAGAATATCAATGAAATTATGGGAAGTGGAATTAGAAATGGTGCATAGTAGAATTTCTTCACACCCATATAACCAAATGTTGTGACTTGGAACAATAATAGAGAAGCGAGGACACGCATATGAATATGGGGCCACATCCTTCCATAGCTCTCAAAGGATGGAACAAAGACCTTAAGTGCCTGTTTAATATTTTTTTTCAAGTAATGTTAATGATTATCAGAATGAATAACTAACATTTACCATCATTTTATAAACACAAGTATACAAGATAGTTACCTGATTTCGTAGAACAAGCCATCCTAGGCCAAAGTACACCACCCCAAATGGAATAATTAGGGGAGCTATGACAGAGTAGCAGTAAACTATTGTGATGATAAGCATGTCACTAGGAATTCTAGTGGCATACCCAAGGTCTCCAGGAGCCCAAGCCTCTTTTAACTCATCCTCGGTCTTGCAAAGATACTTTCTCTTCAAATGAAATATGATTAGAGGAACCAGGCGGGATAGCTCAAGTCCATATCCAACAAAGAACCTTTGGTATCAATGAAATATGGAAAAGTTAATGAACATTTCATTTCACAGATAATACAACACATAGAAGCATTCGTTTCTCCCACTTATCATAGGGACAAAAACAAATACAATTTCTCTCGGTAATCTCAGCAAAGATGAAAAATTTTTAAAAGGCAGTACATTAGCATAAAGTATAAGTTTTAGAAGGAAAATATCAAATAAAGTAAGTGCAGGAGAAAACATAAAAACAAAAAGAAAGAAAATCTTACTTCAAAGCCACATAGGTCAGAAAGAAAGTTGCATTCCCTGGAAGGCTATCTGCTAGCACAGTAACAAGAGAACCTGGATCCTTCTGAATTTGTTTGAATGTGCTAAATAGTGTGCCACCAAGTGTAACACCAATAAAAACATTAAATACAGTAAAATAAAAGTATTTTCCGGATGCAGCCCTTATTGCATGGCTCTCTGAAGGAATTCCCTCTGCCTTGGATAGAAATAAAAGCAGTTTAGGCAACATTGCCAAAAAGATAATGAGTGCAATCTGAGGGAGGTAGGCTTCCAATACTGTCTTGATTGCAGCAATATTCACAGCTGGCTTTAGAAATGGGAGAAATTTCTTCAGATTGTCCAATGTTGTTAGTGCAGAAATAAATCCAATTGGTATCATGTAAAACATTATGGTTAGAGCCACAATAACGTATACCACATACTGTCGTAATTCCCTTTCAAAAAATTTAATTGTGAAATTAGTCCATAAGAGTTGACGAGGTTCAGGAGCATCTATGACAGTCCATTTGTCAACCATTTGGGCATGTAGACTCTGAGCTGCACAAGCTGCTGCCACCCTGCTTGTGAAAAAGACCAGAGCAGAAGCTTGCTGCTTTTCTCTTAGTGTAACTTTTTGCTCAGCTTCTAATTTGGGGACTAGTTCCTTAATCTTCTCGTTATAGTACTCTATACTGTCTACTTTTTCACCAACGAGGCCAAGGAAACCTGTTTTTGTGGTTGGTCTTGTTCCTTCAGGTTTGTCCAATGTTTTGGACTCAGCATATACGGCTTCTGCATGTGCAAGCTTTTTCTTGTATCCTTCCAACTCGTCATAAATTTTGTTAACCTGGTTTTGGGTAGCTTATGATCAGTACAACTTGTCTAGCATATCAACACATAATTAACATGGTCAAGAATTGTAACCATCTGATATATATTACCCGGAAGATACCTAGTTGCATAACATCATAGTTATATTGTTAAACTTCTGAAACTAGGAAAACAGTAATATGAACTTGAGAGGCAATCGTTTATGTGGGAATCAGAAACAAGAAGATATTTCTCAATATGAAGCACATAACTATTTAGATGCTCAGTTCAACAACCATTTGTTAAGGGCGAACAATTATTAAATAGAAGAAAAGAAAACAGTGGAATGAATACCTCTTTATTGTTTGTGACCACCATTGATCTGTAATATGTTTCAGGGTAGATGGATTTAAAATATGAATCCACCTGTTCCTTTCTAGTTCGGCCCTCAGTAACAGGAGGTATGTCCCTAACAAGAACCACGAATTGCTCTGGTTTCACTTCAGGAGACATTAGTGCATTAGCTCTCAGTCCAGACACATGAATGTATGCCTTCCATAACAGGAAATAACTAACAAAAGAAACCCAGTAGGCAGCAATCAGGAATGCCCACAGCCTTGGATTCTTCTCCTGCGTGTAAGAAGAGCAAGACAACACTTGTATGCGTAAAAATTGCATGTAAAATAATCTAAAACATGATGGGATATACAAAGAAGGTCGAAGAATTTATTAATAAAAAAATGGAATTATCTCAATTATATGAATAAATTATTTAATTGAAAGGTAGCAGAGGTTACCTCAACATGTCCCATGGACAACTTCTCAAGATCATTGAAAGTTCCCTTACTTGTACCATTTACGGTTGTAAGAGTTCTAGCAGTCGCAGCAACAGGGAGAAGAACCGGTAGAAGAACGAGGCCGGATAAAACCAATATGGACAACACTGCCGTTGTTAATAAAATGAAAGAACATTAAAAATTTAATCTTTCTCCTTAAAAAAGTCCATATGTTTATGCCAAATAATGAAGGAATTAAAAAAAAAAAAAAAACTGTAGTTTAAATATTTCTGCCTGGAAATTTATATTTTAGCCTGAGCAATCCTTCCCTTGTTTGATTCCTCTCTTCTCCAACTTTCGAGTTGTCACTTATCTAATCAATCCTCTTTTTCTTCATGGTCATCATAACAATAAAAGTTTAAAGTTCACCTCCAACTCCAATTACAAGCTGCTGTAACAGAGGAGGAGAGAAACAGATGACCAACAAAAGGCAAAGTAGATTTCTTTTCTAATTTCTTCCAGGGAAATAATGAAATTTACAAAGTTGAAGTCATAAACCAAAGATTGTTTAATTTTAAAATTGAAAGCAAATTAAATTTTCAGATTAGGGGAATATCTGTTCTGGAAGAAATGGGGAAGGTAAAGGAAAATAAAAAGCTTAGCTTCTGAAAAGTATAGCTCAAATGATAATTGATCAATAAGCACAACATAAATATTAATTGACAAAAATAAGATGTCCAAATCCAGACAGACAGAGAGGCAAACCAGTGGTCAAGAACACAAAGTAGACAGCAGTGTCGACACCAGACACATTAATGATATCCTGTTCGGTTGAAGAAAACGCTTCCCAGATCCAAGCCAACGGATTCCGAGTCCGGGACCCTCCCTCCCAGGCATCCAAGCCTTTCAAGATCCGACTGGGGTAATAAACGACAGCGTTTCCAGGTTTCCTGGATAACCATGTAAAAAGCAGCATCAAAATAACAAAGATCACAAAAGACGTCGCTAAAGACGTCAAGAATGAACTGAAATCCATCCTTCAAAGCAGACACTACTGAACTAGCTTTCTTGTTCGTCTATTTAAAATGAGAAACGGGTTCGGAGGAGTTGTTTTTGGTTATTATAAAACACACAGAAGGAAATTAAAGTAGCCGTTAAGAAAAGGGAAATGAAAGGGAAAGATAATAAAGAAGAGCATTCATTAACGGGTGGTGGTTATAACGTGGAAACGGGAAAAGAGAAGGAGAAGCAGAAGAAGAAAATATCTAAAGAGGGGTTTTGTCTAAGGTGGTTGTAATATGGCCATTGATATGTGACTGTTTTCCTCCTTTCTTTACTGTGGGGTTTCTCTGTTTTTTTTTTTTTTTTTCTGTTATAACCTGGAAACGGGAAAAAGAGAAGGAGAAGCAGACGAAGAAAATATCTAAAGAGGGGTTTTTGTCTAAGGTGTTTTGTAATAATGGCCATTGAATATGTGACTGGTTTTTCCTCCTTTTCTTTACTGTGGGGTTTACTCTGTTTTTTTTCTTTTTTTTTCCTCTCGTCTCTAGTTTTACAAATTCCTCCTAACGTTTTTTTTTTTTTTTTCCTTCTCTCTCTAGTTTTACAAATTCTCCTACTTTCTCTGTTTTCCGTTTCAAATCAGTCTTTCCAATAGGAGATTTGACGAGCATGTGATACTGAGAATTGAGAAGGTAGGAAGAGAGAGACAGGGAGAAGAGGCTCGGAGTAAGTATGAAAGTGCTAAAGTGGGCATTTTCTTTAAAGCTGTTAACTCGTTAGGTACTTAACTGTCTGTAACGGCTCATCTTGACCATAACTAATATTTTAATTTTTCTTTTGTTCGCTTCTAACAAATTGATTCATTTTATTATTTTTCTTTTGTGGTTATGTTACTTTTGTAGTACTAAAGAGTGAAAAGTTGTTTTGTGACAAATACATTGATTTAGGCTCTCTTTATTTTTAGAAAATAGTGTAAACTTTTTTTTAAAAAAAATAATTTTTTTGAGATCTAGAATAGTAATAAGCTGAAATGGATTTTATTATATTATATAAAGGTATCTGACAAGAATTTCTATTTCCTATATTGTTTTTATTAAACTTTAATTGACAAACTCTTAAGTTATTAGTTCTTATTAGCACATGTTTGGTTTAACTATTAGTGTTAACTGATTATTCATAAAGTTTGTCAGCTAATAAATGTTAATTAATGAATTTTGATTAGATATTTTATATATAAAGGGGAATATATTAGTTTTTATCATAATGTGATGTAAATAAAAGATGATATATAAATTTTTTTTATAGTAGTATTTATTAGTTTATTTATATTTTTATATAATTATAGTTTATTTAATATTTTTAATATAATTATAAATAAAATTATCACATAAATATTTTATTTTAAAAAATCCTATTAATAATTAATTTTCATAACATTAATAGATTTCACATGCGGTATAAATATAACCTTGGTATGGTTTTATGTTTAATTAACATTTAAGTAGGAAAAAAAATTTTGAAATAGAATTATAAATAAAATTATCACATAAAATATTTATTTTAAAAAATCTATTAATAATTATTTTCATAACATTAATAGATTCACATGCGGTATAAATATAAACCAATTAACATTTAGTAGGAAAAAAATTTTGATAGATTAATAGTTGATTATAACTTCTAAAATTCTTATAAAACTCATTTGATTTAGCAATTGAATATAAATCTAACTCTCAGAGCTGGATTTAATACACTTAAATCCAAATCAATTACATTTTGGTTCAGATTTTATACTATTTTGAACCCAACCTGAGCGGATTGGAATTTTAATTCCGATTGCAATTATGTGCCGATTCGAAGGATATAGTTGTCATTTAATAAAGGAAATGAGTAAATCTCACCTACTCGCCTTATCCAGTAAAGAGTACGTGACTGTGAAATCGCCACCTTCACGGCGTCACTAGACTCCAAAACCTGTCCTTAGTTAATCATACAGTTCACTTGTACAGTCTCCATCCACTCCAGTTAACTCCACTCTCCCAAAAGAGCTATCAAAACGACACCGCAAAACTATAGCAATTGACGCGTCATCGCGTCCTAAAACAAGTGTGTATGGTTCGTGAAATTTCCGCAGCTCACTTTGAAAAATGTTACGTTGCAGGTTGCACTAAACGACAAACACGGCGTTTAGAAGGAAAAGGAAAGGCCAAGGATAAAGACTGGCACGTGGCAGTACATCTGTTTGCCGACAGGGAATGACCGGAGCAGGTGTCGTTAAGTCAGAGGGTTCGATTACATAATTAATATACACGTCGACAGTCGACATTGTTTTCAGAAGAGTTGTGTAACGGCATCTGACGCAAACATGGATCGGATGATTTTAATAAATAGAAATTATGAATAGTGAAATTATGAATATATGTTAAATTTTAAAAATAATTTTTAAAGCATGAAAAAAAAAAATCAATTTCAATGTAAAAAGTAATTTGAGTACAAATAAAGGAGGAGATATAAAAAAATAAGAAAAAAAGTAAATAAAAAGAAAAAAAAAATGAATCACACCTGATTAATAAATCCTCTGAAAATAAAAAATATGATAAATAATATTTCTTTTCGACACATGTTTTTATTTTTAGCTTTCAATTTTTTCAACGTATGAGGTGGCATTTTGGGCCTAGTACTAAAACGTGGTCTAGCGAGAGGAAGAATGGTAGTTGAAGACTGTGCTGAGAGATCAAGTTAGGAGAGGAAGAGTATGTGGTTTAATTTTAACTAAGCTCAGTTGTGGACTAGAAAATTCATTGAAAGTCTGTAAAAGTAACTCGAAAGCACGTTTTTACTGAGAGAGAGCTAAAACATTCAGGATCCGAAAGGTGTAGAAATTGGAGAATATGTATTGTCTATGGATGTAAAGATAAGAGTAAGAGTAATACTTGTCCTTTTAAATAAAACAAAAATAAATTGAGAAATTGAAACTTTAAAGTCACAACAGAAACTATAGTTAGTGACAGCCCGACACTAGAGGGGACCAGCTTTGGATTCATTATTAGTCTAATCGTTGAGAGGAGCTCCACAAAATTGTAAAAACAGTTGGAAAGTTATGAAATTTGTATTGATTTGGTAATTTGGATAATTGGATGATGGGTTGTGTGGTGGGACTCCACAAATTGATTATAAGCTTAGCAGCTCAAATTAGTATTATGGTTCGTATCTTAAACAAATTCTAAACATAATTACTCAAATTTATATGTTTAGAAGAGTAAAATGCAATCCAACTATTCAATCTTTTCATTTGGGATAATCATTCAATTAGTAACTCGAAAATTGAGTGCTTGTATCATAAGAAAGATCAAACCTTTGCCTTCACAAAAACTTTAAAATAAGTCCTAGTCACAAAATAATTAAGATTGACTATATGAATCATTTGTTTCTATTTTACCTTGTTCATACTTAAATCCATGCCATTGCAATGCTTCTAATATTACTAGGACTAGTAGTTATTTTAAAGGAACAAAAAGGAATTAAAGAAAAACATTAGCATCTTCACGAAGTTGCATTAATTTTAAGGCTTCTTGCCATTTCCAAAACTAAATAGATATCCAGTGTCAAAAGATATACAACATGCTTCTACAATTTTTCCCTGCTTTTAGTTCAGAGCCAAAATGTTGTTTGACCTAACTATCAGCCATTCCTCAATCTCGATAACAATTCGTGTTCTTCCAAAATGGCGCAGCTGTTACTCAATACACAGCCATCTCTATAATAGATCCCATTTTAAATGGGAAGTGTTAGATGCAAGTAGGGAAACAAGAAGATAATGGAGATATGATCACCTAGTGCAGTAAGAGCTGCTGTTATCTTCGAAAGACTCCGTGGAGATGCACAATAAGGCAGTCATCATCTAAAGTTGCAGCAATGAGCCCCCCCTCTCGCCAACTTGTCCCACAGACAGATCATCTGTCTAGGGGATTGATAATGCGCAGTGTAATAATTTTCCATGCACCCATACTGGCAAAATTTCCAATTGTGGGAATACTGGACAGGCTTGGAACTGTTAAATTGTTCAACCCACATTCCCATGCTGACATCTTCCATCTTGAAGAGCTGCAACCAAGAAGGAGAGAGATATAAAGAGGCTGTCTTCCTAGTGAAGAAGATATTAGATAACAGTTAAATACTACTAACCCGAAGGCTTCTATTGCCATGTTGAGCAATGATAAATTTAGCAATATCGCTGGAAATTACATATGCTGGCCCATTGGCGTAAGGAGGATATACTGATTCAGGCCACTCCTGTCACATGAAAAAATCCATTCAGATTTAAGCTAGAATGCATGATATAGAAGTTTATAATTTAAAAGTTATGTTTATCCTGCAAACAAATAAACTGCTTTTAAAGAACATAACAGCAATATAGGACTCATTTGTAGAATATCATTTCTTTTTCCACTCTCAAATCCTAATTCAAGTAACAGAATCCATCAAATTTTAGAATCATAAAGTACTCTAATAAGACATGGCTTCCAACTTCCAACACACCAGTATCTGCGAGAAGGTAAATAAGTATTCTTTTCCTGTTTCTGCCATTGAAAATATCTCAATCATAATTGCAATCCCCTTGACACAGCAAGGCCAATAGATTTAAAGCTCAACTATTTCACTCTATAATTTAAAAATTCCTTCTCATATTTAATAATGATTAAGGAAGCAGGCAAGCTACCTTTATTAATGCAATTACCTTAACTTCTATAATCTGTTGAACAGAATGGGTATTTTAGGCGATGACAAAACCATTGCAAGTAGGGTGTATATTGAGAGTAATATTTGCTTACTTCTTAATAGTAATCACATGCATAGCAAGACAACTTAAACTCAATCCTATACAAAAAAATGAAACTGTTTCACTCTGCTTGTTTTTTTGTTGGATTAGCCATATGGTAGTTGGTTGTTATAGAGAAAAGCACCCACTTTTGCTTCAAGAAAAAGGATAGGCATAGGGGTTGGTTTTTTAGACCCTAAAACTAATATCATCATGCTTATATTTTATTGACAGTTTCTAACAATTTTCCCTCGACACCAACCCCCTTTCCCAGATCAAAACTTATTACTAGAAGGATAAAGAGGATACCTCAAAAGTGACTGCCCATTTTCCAGTTCTCAGAGGACGATGTAAGAGGTTGAGATTGCCCATATAAAGAGATTTTTTGGGAGAGACACCACTAATCTCTTTCAAGACAGTCTCCACCCTAACAAAAGTGTCATCATCACATTTCATAATATATGCAGCGGAAACATTCTGAACCTGTGTGAAGGATATTTGATGTGATTCAGAAAATTTTACAACCAAGGAAGTAGATATATACACAGACTAGATTCTAAAAAAAAAAATCCTACCAAGAGATCCTATGATTAGATAACTAATGGATAAAGCAGACATACCCCAAACTCACAAATAGCAACAGTTTTAAGAACCACAAGCTCATAGCGATCCATAAATGGTAATATCACAATATCACCAAAGTAAGCAGCCTCTTTCTTCAGCACTACATTCACTTCTTTCCTGGGGTTCTGCAATGATAAACACATTTTAATTATGCATATGATATAATTAAAATTATAGCAACAGCTATAGCAAAAAAAAAAGAATGGGAATTTGATATCACAATTTTAGGCACATAAGAATGTGACAGAAAGCCATCCATGGACAGATAATATCACATGCATTATTTTGCAATATTCAATGGATAATTTTGTCACCTTGCGTGCATGTATTCATGGAAAACCATAAATGAAAATTCAAAAACCATAAGATGTAGGTTCATCCATGCAAGTCCAACTCATATGCTAGAGTAGATAAATTGCTATTAAGTGAACAGAGCGGAAATGATCAAAAAGGATTTATAAGGCCAATCTCAACTAGTTTGGGATAATGGTTGTTGTTGTATACTAGAATAGATAAACTAAAATGTGTCTCCATGCAACAACAATGTTTATGTCAAGGGAATGTAATATCAACTGTTTATGTTCATATATTTATTCTCAAAGAACTAATTAGCTTTACATGATTCACCAAGTTCATTCATCCTAGCATCAATGGTTGCTTGTCTCTCTAGTTCAGCTAATAACCCATGATTGGAGAGCTAATAATTGCTAATGAGTGTCTTCAAACAACCAGTGCCTTAATATCTCCATTTTCCCTGAACTAACATGAAGAGCAATCCTTATATCGTCCCTCTAATGAAAATGCTGAAGCTCTTAAGTACCGCTAGCCACATTTCTAAGTGTGACTTACCCCTGTATCACCCCATCATTTCCACATGTTTACAAATCGAAAAATTAAGATGGTATCAGTGAATCAAACTCTTACCAGAGCAACAAAAAATCGAACTACTACTTTTGAAGATTTGATTGGTGATGCTTGCATCCAAGTTTTTCTAACTGCCATACGTTCTGCAAAGTGATTAGTAGCAGACAGAATCCCAATGAAAAGTTGAATTGGATTCTTCGGTGAAGGAAGAGCTTTCCACTTATCCGACATCTCCAGTACCCTTTGAGGAGAGAAACTTGGATGGGAGCTAGGAAGAGAGGTGGCATAAACTGAATGAACATCTATATCTCCTTTGATTGCTAATCCTGTTGCATCTTCAAGAGTGAAGCCCTGAAGATAAATAAAATTTCTTAAGACATCATTTCAAGCTTAATGCAACAAAATGAAAATTTTGGAGCTCTACTTGCATAGTGAACAGTTGAACAAGAGAAGGTTTTTTTGTAATATTCAGAGGTAGTAAGGACATGTTTGCATGAAACCTACATATCAACTTAGAGAAACATGGCAGAAAGATGAGAACAGGAAAAGGGATCAAAAACCAGAAAGAAAGAGCAAAAAGCTTAGTACATGGGAAGTGCATAAAGAATGAAGGGAACATTAAAAGAAAGTAATGCAAAAATGTGACAATTCAAAAGAACAATTTATCTGCAGTAGTTAGAACCGAAAAAATAAATGCAAAGCATCAGATGTGCAGTCCTATTGCCTAGACCTAAATGATCACTTTTTATCATTATGAAGAACTTCATAAGAGGTAAACATCACAATTTTTTCTCTTCTTTAGCAACATACCGGAAAATAAAGAATGAAGAAAACATTAAAAGAAAATAATGCAAGAATGAGACAATTCAAAAGAACAATTTCTCTGCAATAGTTAGGACTGATGACATAAACACAAAGCATCAGACATGCAATCATGTAGTCTAGGCCTACATTATCAATTTTAACCATACGAGGAACTGTCATAAGAGGTAACATCATATTTTCTCTTCCTTAACAACATACCGGACGATATGCAAAAGAGGACACATGCCGACCCCCAACATTTATATGGTAGCCATCAACACCAGCACGCAATGTCAGGATAAATAATTTTCCTTCCACAAAAGGAAATGGCCATGTCACTTCTGGCTTCTGTTCACGGCCTATGAATCTCTTGAACCATGAAGTCGTCTTGGACTCTTTTGAATCTACAATGTCGTTCCGCATCCATTTCTCACATCTCATAAATCCATCAACTGCCAAATGCACGTATTAAAAAATCTCAATGGTATGACATGGAGTAGAAAGGATTAAAGTTCACCAAAAACTTCTTCATGTGCATCTGTGTGAGCGTGCACACAGGTTTAATAGAAATAGAGCAATTTCATTCAGTTCATTGGCTACCGTAGATAGGAGTCACCTTTACATTTGGATTGATAATAAATAAACTTAACAATACATAAAAAAAATTAAAGCATAATTGGTCATGCATAACCTTACAGGCAACACTTCAAAATGCAGGTAGTTCAGTACAAAACCAGATTAGCAAAAACATTTTACTGACAGCACTCTGGACCCATATAAGGGCCCACCTCTGTCACTTACGGCTAGGGAATCAGCATAGGGACTATTCGCCTACCTCGCAAAAAAACTTTCCAGCAGTTCATATTATCGGAATTAAGCTTCCACATAAAAATAAGAAAAGAGGAAGCAAAGAAACTCAAACTTTACATAAACAGCAAGCATTCAATCAAGCATGGGGTTGTGCAGGTGGCTTGAGGAGCTCACTAACCAATCATAATTCCACAAGCAAAGTTGCAAGAGCAGCTTGGTTCATTTCTACTAATTTGATTCTCCTTTCAGAGTCAAGCTTCCACAGACACATAAGAAGTGTATGGGCTCAAACTTTACAAAATAAGCAAATATCAAATAAAAGCACGGGTCCCTGCAAGTGCTTCAAGGAGCCTACGTGATGACTAAAACTTCAAAATGTGAATTTCAGGGGACTTGGCCACAAGGTTATGGCTCAAGCTGTTCCTGAAATCCTTTTTTTAGAAGCTCAAAATTGATCCCATCTAGTGCAGAAGCCAATGCTTCCAATTGACCAATAGAAATATACCAAAAATTAAATAAATAATCAAATTTGGATTTCCCAACCCATCTATTCTACTCCCATCTTGAGATATAAACAGAATTTCATAATTTATTTCATCTTCCTTTATTACAAAATTACTTTTTGTTATTCTTGCACATTTCTTTTCATCTTGAAGATGTATTTATTTCATTGATGATACTTTGAGTCCTAATGTATTTGGAATAACTTGCAAAAGGAACAAGTGACAATGAAAATATTAAGATATGCAAACAGTAACGGCTCTTACCCAGCATGTCTTCATCTTTCTTGGATGGCAAGCCATCACACCTCTGAGCTGTCCCCCATTGCATTCTATAGCAGGTGTTGTGCTCAATAACTGGTTGCTTACTCCAATCTCCTCTCAATCTAGGATTCAAATGCAGAATCTTTGGTGGATCCTCCCCATCAACTGCCTTTAGTCCTTGCAACTCAATCATAAACTGCGAAACCTTAACATTGCCATCACCACTCCTGAACCTTGCCAGTTGAGGGACATACTCCTCATGCGCATAATGAGGTGTTCCTACCACTGTTATAGAAGACCCTGCGGATAATCCGCATGGAAGGAACATCATCTTCTCCCCGCTAGCCAACTCCTCCCCGCTTATTGACACCCATGAAGGGCATGAATCAAGCTTCCCCTCATAAACAGAATTTTGTCCAATCTCCTTCCCATCATACTTTTGCACTTCTTCCCATGCCTTCAATCCCAAAGTCCAAGCCTCATCTGCCAGTGTCTCAAGCACTGACAAACCACTAGTTCTATTTCTTCGCCTCATTATCTCTCCTGTTATTCGACCATATCGGTGCTGATGTGGCTTTATAGGTTTATTCATTCCTTTTACTTCTTCCAATGGTTCTTTATCAGGCATTGTCGGTGCATTTTGGTTTTGGTTATCTTCTAATTTTCGGTGAAATGTATCCTTATAAACAGAACCAAAGAATGGTCTGCTTAAGTCTGAATCTTCCACATCTTCTGTTGCAGCCGTATCCAACCCAACATAACTATCATCTCCACTCAACATTGCTGCAATCTCTAAAAAGTGTGGAAATTTAAATGCTAAAAACACCAAGTATAATGCTCCTATACCCAGCAAGAATTGTGACAATTTGAACCTCCTACCATTCGGAGGTTCACTTTTTAACCTCTTCATTTTATAAGACCCAACAAAAACCAAAGCAAAAATAATACACTAGAAAACCCAATAATCTCCCATAACTAATCAAAAGCACCACGAATAAGCTTGAAACCAACAGAATGCACAAAAAAATGCGTGGTCGAATCTTCAAAACAAACCCCTTTCTGATGGTATCAATTTGAACTTCATAAAATCCAGAAATCCCACATATATATTGCGCTAAATAATAAATAAAGCACCTATAATAAGCTTAAAAGCCAACAGAACATGCAAAACCGAATGTACCTAAATCTTCAGAAAAACACCAATGTGGATCAAATTACGAAAAGAGAACTCAAACCTTGATGGGTTCGAAGAGATCAAGTTGGCAATTAACCGATATCACAAATTGAACATCAAAACATGCAGAACCCTTCAAAAATTGGGACCCAAAATCCCAAATTTGTCAATGTTTAACCAACATTTCCCCCCATAAAGAGCACAGAAAGATTAATCGATTGATCAGAGAAGCTGAGACCCGGAAAACGAATGCAGTCTTGATTTCGGAACTGAAAAGTGTGAAACACTTGACTTTTGAGGGAAAGAACAAATTGGAAAAGCAGACAGGGTGGAGAAGGGGGGTGGGGGGAGGAGAGAAAGAAAATACAGTGCGTAATCTAAAACGTGTGTATGGGGGTAGGTTAGAGGATCATACAGACAAATAATAGCAAATGAAAGTACGAAAATGTAAAATGTTGCAATCTACAGCTTGTGTATGTGGCTGGGTAGGGTAGGTTAGAATAGGGACCCATATAGAAAATGAAATGAATAAAAGGACTAAAATGTAAACTTTCGTAAAGCCAAATTTTAGAGTCTGCCAATTGTATGCACCTGGTTGGATTCTCGTTCTCTCATCCATGGCTTGATGATGAAACATTTCAGGAAAAACTTATTAAAACCTTCAATATTTAATATTAACTCTGTTGCGTAGCATTTAGCATTAGATTTGAAATTTCACATCCTAAAAAATTATTCAATTTATTTAATTTATAATGAATTATTTAGTATAAATTAATTATATTATTTTTAATTTAATATATCTAAACATCAAATTAAATTTTATATTTTTAATTTAATATATCTAAACATCAAATTAAATTTTAAATTTTTCAATATTCATATTTTCTCCAATTACAGTGGTGGAAATATTTTGAAAACATAAATATAAAAAGTAAACATGAAAAATATATATTTTTTGAAAATCACAGATGTAATAAGTATTTTGAAATAAATTACGTTCTTGAATATGACAAATATTATGAAACGGACGTAGTAAAATTTATATCTAAAAATCCTCAATTTTACAATTAAAAAAGAAAAAAAATATAATTATAGATCCACTAATTTCATTATATGTAATATTTTTATCAAATCGCTATATTGCTAATATTTAATTTTAAAGGCATTAATTTGCTGTTTTTAAGTCTAAAATAGTTTTAAAAAATTATTCTTAATTTGTGTTTATGGGCAGTGTGTTTTTTATTTATCAAAAAAATAAATAGTTAAAATATGAATAAAAATATTATTTTGTTGGATATTAAAATATAACGAAGGACTTAAGATATTGTTTAGTTTTCTGAGAAAACAATAACTTCTTAATTAAATTTTTAATAACCATGAAATTACACTTACCCGATCGAAATTAAGTAGGAGGTCTACATTGTTGGTTACTGTATGGCTTTCCGGCCCAACAGGCAAGCGGGTGCAATGTCCTAATGTCCTAATCTAGAGAGAGTATATGTATATATATATATATGTTACATTCCCTTTGATAATGTATTTGATTACCTTATATTGCTCACTAAATTTGGTAATTAAAATAATATCAAAATGCAAGCCAAAACTAATTTTATTTTATATTGAAAATTACACATTTTGTTTTTTGATAGGACGACTGAAAATTATTTTATACTAAAACAATTAGAAAGTCATCTTTAAAAAACGACAATTATTCTGGCCTGCAAGAATATGACAATTGTCCTGACAATCGTCAAACTAATAGAGATAAAAAACGACAATTTTTGACAGCCAATTCCGTTTCCATATTCCTCCAAAGTTACAACATGGTGTCGTTAGTCGTATGAAATTTGTATCTCCTTCAGGATAATACCACAATAGACAAAGAAAGTTGACGGTCGTTCGACAAGCAGTTCTGTTCCTACCGTTTCACAAAATCCTGTCGTTTCGTGTCGTTCGGTTTCAGAAAATTTTACTTTCCGCTTAACGGCATTCCGAGACTGAGAGGTGAGGTGAGAGCTCCGACCTGGAAAACGGTGCCGGGTACAAATTCACCAATTCACTTTCCCCCGTATGTTTCAATAAATTACATCAGTATCCAAAACCCTTATCCATTTTTTCCATTTCCATAAACCCTCAAGTTCAAAATCAAAACTTTCTGAACTTCATGATTGTTGTTTGTTTTCCCTCTACAATTCGACTCCACAACGGTTCGTTTCTTGTCCCATCCCTCCATTTCCTTTTCAGTTTTCAGCAAACTTTCCTCTAACTTGCGTGCGCTTGATATTGTTATTTTCTGTTAACATTGATACTAATTGGTTAAATTTTCAAAAAATGACTCAATATCCACGTAATGATTTGGTGCCTTTCTGGATAATTTATAGCTGTATAGCTAGTTGAATAAAAATGACATCTCCGGCAACTTGGATTTATCAGGGTTTTGTATTTCATTATCTTCTTATCTGTTTGATGAGTTTTTTCTATATAAAAATGGAACTTAATACTAAATAGTTTTTTTTTTTTTTTTACTAAATAGGTTTTTTTTTTTTTTTTTTTTGGGGGTTAGGGGGTATGGCAGATAGGTTTTTTTTTTTTTTTTGGGGGGTAGGTGGGGGTATGGCAGATAGGGGGCTGAGGAGTACAGTTTATGTAGATAGCTGTTTTGCTGGGAAGCCAGGTTGCAGTCATCTACAGGTTTAATTTCTGTTTCTTTCCTTTTCTCTTTTTACCTTGTCTTTCTTGGTACATAATACAGTGTTGTCCCCAAACTAGGCTGCTATCTGTTTGCCGCAATACTGAAGAATCTACAGTTGAATTATGTATAATTTCAGTCTATTCTTTGCCAGTTTATTTTGGGAATAGATTTTCATTCCTAGTCTCATCTTTAATCCTGTTGAGTATGCAAAACAGCACAGAAATGTATGCCCCTACTACATAAGTTCTACCATCAACCATGTTAAAAGTGTTTTATGGATAATAAATGATGCAAATAATGTACTGATATTACGTTTTGTTTGATGAGTACTTAATCGCTTGTCGCAGTGGCTCTTGTGTGCTTAGAATTTACCAAGTAAGTTGGGGGAGGGCCGGAGGGGTGACAATTTCCCTGTTTTCTATTCGGTTGTCAAAAGACCATTTCACTGGAGCATCTCATTAGTTATACATGCTATGTAACATATAATTTTCTTTGGATCATGCAGACATCATTTGTTGGTTCATTTTCAGTTAGAACACCGCAAGTTCGATTTGGCTCTAAGGCATTCCCAAAGGCTCCGTTACTTCCTTGTATTAAGTGTGAGAAGAAGGATGAATATATTGAGCATGTATCTGTTGAACGTCCTCCCTATCATAGTTACATGGACTCCACATCTGGGCAACTTGAACCAGCATCTGGAGCTCGTGCTAGTATTCCAGGACAGGAGTACTGGCCAGAAGGTACTGCCGATCGCGTTAGGGCTGCCAGGGCTCCTGAACCAACAGGCACGTCGACAGGATCTCCATCTTATGGTGAAATGCCTGGCAGTAGAAGGAAGAAGTATAGAACGTCAGCCACTGCTCCTGAATCTTCTATAGTGAACGTAGAAGCACCTGAAAGCATTGATGAGATGACGGAAGAGCCTAAAGATGTCTTGTCTGATTATGTGGTTTATCAGACAGAGCCTGAGGAAGAACAAGAAACTGGATATGATTTAGACAAAAAACTTGGACGCCCTCATCCCTTCATTGATCCAAAAGTGAAGAAGCCAATAGAGGGGACACTTACAAGTGAAGAATTATGGTGGAACTGGAGAAAGCCGGAGAAGGAACAATGGTCCAGATGGCAAAGGAGGAAGCCTGATGTGGAAACGGTTAGTATAGTTGTCTTAGAGAAAAGATCAATGAGTTTTAGGAATTTACTTCCTTTCAGCATTTAGCAGTAATAGCATTTTGCTATGCAGCAATGTATCTTTTCTACTCAGTTTAAAATATTAACACTTTTCTGCCATTTTTTTTTTTTTCATTTGGTATGTAAAATTGATCAGCACTTTCAGACAAAGCAGCTCCTTGCAACTTCTGGTTTCAAGAGTGAACACCTTTTTTTACCTTAGGCAGCTATCCATGCTATTTCACTGCTATTTTTTTCTTTTTCTCAAATTTGTAGCATTGAGGCCAATAGCCCAATAATATTTTCTTCTTCAATAATATATAAGCTGCTTCCTGCTGGAACACAGTTATCATGCACTTATTTTAATTTTTGAAGGTTTTTCTCAAAGCAATGGCTGAAACTGGGCAAGTAAAGCTTCATGGTGAGGAACCAACACTGACAGAGACTGCTCTTTACAGAGCTAGAAAACATCTTTTCAAAGAAGAAAGGTAATATTGATATTTTTAATCGATTTTTTTTTTATTAAAAATCCGTGATATTTTAATTTAAGTTTAACTATAGTATACGAGGGTATAAGAAACATGAAAGCTACTCAAAACTGACATGTGAATTGGACTTGAATATATGAAATGTAAATTCAATTCAAGTTTGGAGAAAAATGTAAACATAGTTAAAGGAACTTCAAGGACTCAGTCTTGCATATGGGAAAGGAAGGAGAATAAGGGGGTGGGGGTTGTAAAGAGAAAAGAGAAGGGTATGCCTCATTCCTCACCTACCGAAAGGAACCTATACATATGCATTACAGGATTAGAAGATGAAAAAAGAACATTCTATATGCTAATCTGCCTAGTATGGCAATGTGTTTAAGACACTACGTTATGAACTACAGAATAAGGGAGAGTGAAAATTACCTTTTCAATAACTAATATACTAAACTTATTTCATTTCCTTGTTACTCGCATCATAATATCCAGAGAACTGAAAATTTCGCAAGTCCTGCTTAGTTGCAACAAACTGGTTCCTTAGATTGTTTGCCTACTTCTGATATAGCATTATGTGAACTCTAGATCCTCTACACCTCTTTGTATTCGCATATTTTGAAAATGTCCTTAACTTGCCTGAAAATTGATAATATCCCATTGGATTAAAATCTATTCCCCTCTTTTTTTTCTTTTTTTTTCTTTTTTTTTCTTTTTTTTTTTTTTTTTTTTTTTTATTCCCCTTCTTTTTTCTTTTTTTTTCTTTTTTCTTTTTTTTTTTTCTTTTTTTTTTTCTTTTTCTTGTTGATATCCCTTGCAATTGGCTGCAGTGATTGTTTTTCACTGAAAAAAATTTTGCATGTAGCATTTTTTTTTTCTTTTTTTTTCTTTTTTTTTTTTCTTTTTTTTTTTCTTTTTCTGTTGATATCCCTTGCAATTGCTGCCAGTGATTGTTTTTCACTGAAAAAAATTTGCATGTAGCATGGATTTATGTCATTGCTACTCTCTGTAGGCTTCGAGCTGAACATGAGAGACTGGAGAAAATAGGTCCTATGGCATATTACTCAGAATGGGTAAAAGCATGGAAGGGAGACACCTCACAGGAAGCTATCCAGAAGCATTTTGAAGAGACTGGTGAAGATGAAAACACGCAACTAATTGAAATGTTCTGCCATCAAACAGATCGGGAATATCGCATAATGATGGGGACAGATATTCGTATTAAAAGGGATCCTTTGGCAATGAGAATGCGAGAGGATCTAATAAAGCAAAGTATCTTATTCAAAACCAATTAGTTTTGAAGAAATAAAAATGAAACTTGCTTCATTCTCTTTTTGAGATTGACATTTTAGTTGATCTTTGCAGTTTGGGGTGGAGATCCAGTTTATCCAACAATCAACTACATCCAAGATCCAGACGAAATAATTGACTACAGGGGCCCTGATTTTCATGAACCGACACCCAATATGCTGGCTTACCTAAAAGAGGTGGATAATCTGTTTCGTATCCATTCCATCATATCATAAAGAGGTTTATAGTCTAGAAGCTGGCCATTTATCTTTAATGTTTTTCTTATTATGAAACCAAAAATTGGTTGATGAATAGAAATTAATCAGTTTCTGAGGGATCATGTGCAAAGCTCAAGGCTGAAGCATTTGTTAAATGATCTCGAGAAGTCGAGAAGTCAATGAAATCAGCAGGCTGCTGGGGAACTAACTTGCGAGCAGTCTGCTGCAAATTGATTGAGTTGCTCTTCTCATCTGATTTCTAAGAACCTCAATTTCATTGCTTATTTAGGTATTATATTGCTTTTCTGCATTTGAATGAATTGTATTGTTGATTGTCAGTTCAAGTAGGATCATTTTTACAATCGTCCAACTGATCATTATTATATAGGTTTCATAAATCTGGTTGAGTTTCAATTCTCATTGCCTGGATATAAGGTTTTACTGCAAAAGTCTAGCCTAAAGAAATCAACTTTAATTTTGTTTTGTCAACTAGCTTTTCTATTGCCAAACCTGGCATTCAACCAATTGAATCATGGTTGCTTTGGTGGATTTCTTCAAGCATGATAAATCACATTAGTGGGGCATTTGGTTACCAGAATTCAACTCTCCTATGGAAAAATGCATTCCTAGAAAAGTAGATTTCCTAGAAACGAACTTTAGGATTGTTGAATTTTATCATGTTTGGATGGCAATAAATTTTTTTAGGAAATTAAGATAATTAAGAGTATTAATGTCACTTTATTTTTTTAATTATCCTTTTTTTTTTTTTTTGCAATAGGAATTCAACTTTTCTACCCTTTGAGAGGGGAAAGTAGGGATGAGATCCACCTATGAATTTGGAATGTACCTCACTTTCCCGTAACATTCAAGCAATTAAACGCCCCTTAGAACTAACCAAGATAGCATAAGTATGAAATGAGAGCTCTATCTAAGGAATTGGAAAAGCAAAGCAGCATCAAGAATTTCTCTAACATCAAGAGCACTTATGGTGATCCTGGCAATAACTTTATTCTCAAGTATATGCTTATAATGTCAAAAATGTCTTCTCAACCTATTTGAAATCACATCATATGCAAGATGAGTGGAATAACTTGTGCTTTAGGTGAGGCATGTGGTTATATTCATTGACGTTTTTTATTAACAGCTTTTTTTCCTCAACTTGCATGGATCAGCATGGAAAAATTGTACCCAGGGAGGAGTTTGAAGCAACTTTGGCAAAAGAGAAGACGGAACAACTTGAGGTAATTCACTGAAAATATCAACTTGATGTTTTCTTTTTTTTGGCTGGGTATAATTTTTTTCTTTATAACAGGAAAAAATATATTTTCATTATGGTTATGCATGATGTCTGAGTGCAATTTCAAAGGGAAACACTGGGAAATAAACTAAAAATATTAGAAGCTCTTCACGTCTAGGGTTTTCTGATGAACTTATCTCATGTTGAAAGGTACTTGTTGAAGTAATCGAGGCCTTTTGTGAAGCATATTATCCTAAACCAATTTATATATTTAAAACACTGATTTGGTTTATCTGTTATAAAGGAATTTCAGATGTACATGCATGATATTTTAGCTATTCAGGGTGGCATGCGGCTTCCCACTGGCTTAACCTTGTAAACAAAAGTTCTAGATTTCTTGATATTTATATGAGAACTTAATATATTGACTGCACTGATACAACTGAGAGCAAAATTAATTGTCTTGGCAGTTGGAAAACATATGCCTCTAGTTTCTGATAAATTATAGTTCAATTTTGAAGCATGTAAAAATGGGGACAACTGTGTACCGATATACAGCAAAGGATATTGGGTTTATGGATGGTTAGGACTTTTGTTTTTTCATTTATATGTTCATCCTTTAATCCGTTTTAATTTTTAAAGCAGATGACAGACATGGATGAAGCTATGGCGCAAGCGGTTGACATTGGTGAAAATGATGTGAGTTTCATCATCTTGTATGATGTTTATGATCATCAGTCTCTTCAAAATATGTGGAAAATATCTCTAAAAATGTGATGGCATTTTATCTATTGACACTTTGAATAGGACGGAGGAGAGGATACTGATGTTGAAGAAGAAGAAGAAGAAGAAGAAGAAGTAGAAGAGGAGGAGGGGGAAATTACACGCAATTGGAGTGTGCTAAAGTCTACTCCTCAGATTCGCAAATCAAAAGTACGGCATTCCTCATTAAATCCTCTGATTATTTTGCCTCAGCTGAGTCAGACAGATAGATGGACACATGCAAAAAAAAAAAAAAACTTGCATTTTAGACCATTCCGAGTAGTGTCCCTCAGCTCATTAAATCATGTGGGACTTCTTGCCTTACTGAGACCCACCAGTACACATGCTGCCAGAAGAAATATAATCTCTATCTCGTGGTTCTAAAGCATTCTTGACCTATATCATTCTCATCTCCTGACGGGGGAACATACGAGTGTTATCTATTCTAGAGTTAGAAATCGTTCTTATGATATCATTCTACTGAAAATGTTTTAAAGCATTCACATCATTTTTAGTTAGAAGAATCCTATTGGTTTTCCAATTTGTATTCTAATTAACCTACCAGTTTTTTTACACATCTCAAACCACTAAATATTTTCCTGCTTCCGTTGAATCTTACAGGCAAAACCTAAAAAGAAGGGTTCCATGTCCCTTGAAGAGGCAGTAGAAGATTCAGAAAACTTGACTGATTTTCTCATGGACTTTGGAGAAGAGGAGTGATACTTGGCCACTTTTGTACTCTAAAAACTTCAACTTTCCTCAGAACCCTAAGAAATAGTTGGTGCAGTCAAATGGCATATGTACTATGTAATCTGGTGATCGGCAACTGAATTGATCAGATCAGTGAAAAGTGAAAAGGTTGGTGTAGGGTTCATGATTTTCCTTGGCAAACAATAGGCCTTCTTTCTTACCATTTTTAATTATTGGTGGCTTCAGGTATTAGAATTTTAAAATTTCTAACTAAAATTCCGCTTGTTTGAGTTAATCCAAGCTTAACTGGACTCTGCAATCGAAGGAGGTGAAATGCACATAACGAAGTGGGGTTTTGTAGGTGGTTCTAAAAAGCTAAAGAATGTACTCTCATGCTAGACTTATGACGGGCTGGGCCTGAATAAAATGTTAAATTTTCTGAACTTTCAATTTTCTTCATAAATTAAATAGAAATTGAGGGTCCATTCTCAATTTAAAATAAAATAAAATAAAAACAGAGAATTGCATAATATTACTATATTCTAAACTTGAACAACCTTAAAAATTCTTTTGAAAAGCAATAGTTAAAATCAAGACATAATTTTTTTTTTCTTTTTCCTAATAAGTTTATGTTTAATGTTTCCAAAAACCTTGTAGTTGAAGGCCAAATGAAGCACTTTTGTCATTCCAATAATTACAACCCAACCCTTTGCTACAATTTCTATGAAGTAAAAGATGGGACCAAATAAATAAAGGGTCATAATTAGTAATTTTGATACCTTTGAAAGGTAGTAACAAAGTTCCTGAAGAATCCCATGCAAAAAGAGATACATATATGACCAAATCTAAAGGGTCAGTAATTAGTAATTTTGATACCTTTGAAAGTCAGTAAAAACAAAGTTCCTGAAGAATCCCAATCAAAAGGGATACGATATATATATAGTATATATAGTATTAATGATAGTATATACATATATATATAATAATACTAATAGTTAGATAGCCCTTTTGTGCGCCCTTAGATTGTTGTTTTTTCTGTACTTAAGAGCAGGATCATAAAATTTTAAGCACAAAATATATATAATAATACTAATAGGGTTAGATAGCCCTTTTGGTGCCCTTAGATTTTTTTTCTTATTTAAGAGCAGGATCATAAAATTTTAAGGCACAAATTTTTCCTTTTTGGCCCTAGTGCCCTCCAGACCACATACATATTTAACTATGTATATTTTAAGCAGGCCAGAATTGTCCCCCTCTCTACCCATCTACCTTAATTTATTCCTTTATGCCCTACACTATCTATCTGATAACTTTGCAAGATCTCAAAAGTGCTTTAAATTGTTAATTTATTCTTCCCTTCTCTCTATTATTATTTTCTTTCTTTATTATAATATAATTTCTTGTGTGCTATTATCAACTCTTTGGAATTAAAAAATTTGAGTGCTTAGCTATGGCTGTAATAACTGAACCATACTTTCTTCACCTGAATTCATTTCTCAAGTGGTCCCTCCTTCCATAATGCATAGATTCTTGCTTGGACTTCAAATATACTAAAATGCATAATTATTGCAAAATGTATTAATATATATTTTTTCAAACTGCAATTATTAGAATCTTTAAATAAAAATTTAATCTAAATTTAGCAAGAACATATCTAGTATCTATGAAAGCTCTAAGTAGGGATGGTAAAGATGATCTTTGACCATATATAATTGTGATCAACATTGGATATTCTATAGTCAACATGAAAGAAAAAAAAAAAACCATATTTGATGGTTCAGATTTTGCTTAATCATGCAAATTTGGTTACTAAAAACAAGCCAAACTCATTTTGATTCTTCTGATTATTGTTATTGTTAATTATTATTGTTATTCCCTAAAGAATGGAACTACTTAAACCTCCCTATAAAAATCCCTCAAGTGTTTTAAATTAAGTTATAATAATTATCCAAAATTCCATTTCCAAAACCTTCCACTTGAAGCATTAATTAAATTCAGCTTTTTTTTCCCCATATCATATCAATTGCTACTTATTATGCCTTACTAGTATTGGGTAAGAAATTCTTTTTTTTTTTTTTTTGTTATATTATTTATTAGAATATAGTTTTAAAATTGAATTTTCATTGCATTTTATACTTGGACTGAAAGTGATATTTAAGAAAAATCCTCCCAACAGTGAGACTCTAGGTTTAAAATACTTGAAAGTAAGTTGAGCTATATATTATTTAGAGTCTGTTCAGCAAAACTAACTATTTTGGTAACTAGTAACTGTTTGAATAGTTTTTTATAAAACGCTAAAAACTAAATGTTATATGTGTTAACTTTTTATAAAATGCTATCTTAAATCTAAAGTTAGTTTAAACGCCATGTTACTGAACACTATAAAAAATAGCGTTTAGTGTTTTGACCGATCAAAATGCTAAAAGCTACTTAAAAAATAGTAAACGCTATTTAAAAAAATCATTATCAAATGCAATCTTAATATTGTGGACGTCATTTTAAATATTATGAGATCTATTGTAAGATTAAGCTCATTAAACCAAAAAAAAAAAAAAGAATCCAACGAATCAAAAGGAAGGGGAAAAAAAAACTTTGAATTAAATAGCCTAAAGAAAATAGTGAAATTAAAGGATTAATACATAGAGGGTAGCTAAAGAGTTAAAGAGGGGACAATGGATCCTATTAACTAACCCAGATGATATAGAAATGATTAGTTTTAGAAGGTGATGTTAAGCAATTAGAACAAATATGCTAATGAGTTATGGTTTTGTCACCCAAAACATTATCAAGAAAAGATCTAAGAATTGCTGGCTTGCTTTCTTGTTTTGCCCCCCCTTACCAAATACATTTGAAAAAAAAAAAAAAGTCAGTAAGAAAATTTTTTTAAAATAAAAAAAAAAAAAAAAAAGGAAAAAGAGGTCAGTAAGAAAATTTATTTTAAATAAAAAAAAAAAAGAAGAAAAAGGCAAAACACAAACATGGATGGTCAACCATGTTTGCTGTCTCTATTAGCAAATATGGATACAACATAAACCATCACGTTAATTAGGCTTTTAAATGTTGATAAGGATACATTAAACCTCCTTTCTTTATCATTAATCAAATGATTAGTGATCATATTCAAGTTTTTTTAAAAAAAAAAAAAAAAAAAAAAGGCAAACACAAAACATATGGTCAACCATGTTTGTGTCTCTATTAGCAAATATGGGATACACATAAACCATCCTTAATTAGGTTTTAAATGTGATAAGGATTACTTAACCTCCTTTCTTTATCATTAATCATGATTAGTGATCATATCAAGTCTTTCTTTGTCATAAATTAGTCATGCTGTCACCAAAACACTAACATGATTAACCAAATGGGGTCCACACTAATCATCCAATTAGTCTTAGTTTTGGCCTCTCTATACGTGTCACATTGTCTTAATTCTTAAACTTGTTTTATATTCCAATTTTTTGTTAAGACAAAAAAATCAATACTTAATTTGTTTATTGAATTAGGGCTCTACGTATCAACATTCGGGTTCAAGTGTGGCTTTCAATGTTTTTTATTAAGATAATAATATTATTATTTTTATAATTAATAAATCATATCACTTTGTCTTAAAACTTGTTGTATATTCCACTTTTTGCCGAGACAAACAAATTAAACGCCCTATATAGCATAGTATGTGCCTTTCCTTTATCCCAAAATATAAGTTATTTATGATTTTTTTCATTAAAATTAAGAAAATATTTAATTCTTCAAAATTATAATAAAATCAATGGTATTTTAACTAAATTATTTTTTATCTCAAAACTAGAGTAACTTGTAAGGTAGTTATTATATCTAATGTATATAAGGTAACATTAGAAAAACGTGATTTATTACTCATTAAAAAACTCAAAACGACTTATATTTTAAAACAAAATAATTATCCAAAAATGACTTATATTTTAGGATAGAAGGATTATTGAACTACGGAGTTACATGGAGTATTGAATTAGAAAGCTAGATATCAACATGCAAGTTCAAAATTGGCTTTCAATTTTTTTTTTTTTTTTATTAACAACAAGTACCTTCAACTTAATGGGTTAGGACTAAATCCTACTCGTGCCGAGTCTGTCCAATAAGAGAAACCGAGAGAACATGTAAAATACACAATAGAGATAATCCATTCTAAATAACATTCATAAAATTGATAATAATTTTTTTAATAAAGAGGACTCGAATTTGAAATTTCCATTTTTCCACATTTTTTACAAAATGTGAGAATAACAACTATAACACAAATAGCATCACCTTTCTTAGACTTTATACGAATGATGTAGTGCATTTTTCCTTAACTCTCTAACTCCTAAGTATACATTAATATACCAAAAATGTGTATTTTTATAATAATAATAATAATAAAAAAAATGTTATAAGTTTGTGCCGCTTATGGCGTCTCAATAAGTACCAACAACATGTCTAATCGAAGACGTACACGCATTTGGCTATTAATTTGCATTGTGATTAGGGAACCCATAATCTTTTCATAATCACTCTTTCAAAACTTACATCATTTTTTCTTTTACCAAAGCTTCCAACTTGCCTTGTGCGCATGCTACTTTGCGGTGCCTTATTATGCTCTAATATCCTACTTTTTTTTTTCTTTTTTTTTTTCTTATTCCATCAATAAACTCTAACACCCTAAACCGTTTGGAATAAGTATAGTTTGCATATTGGTAAAAATCAGTTGCTTTCAACTAGAAAGAAACTGCTATTTTGGGATGATCAATTAGGGATAATTGTAGTAAAAATTAGGGTTTTATTGTAATCCAACCCTAAAGTTTGCTAGTCTTTTAATGACCTATAATATGTCCAGTTGGCTCCACTTACAAATTGTTTTGTGGATAGCAATTAGGTCAGCCAACCCTCAAATGATGTTTAAAAAGGCTACCAATTTTTTAGGCAACTCCTTTATTGCAAATGCACTCAAATCATTCCCTAAAATATGCATTTGTATACATTATGTTTGAAAAGGCTATAAATTTGTAGTTTTGTACCCATGCTGTCCCTTAATTAAGGTTGGGTCTGGATTGAACCATCTCACATGAATCTAGATATCTTGATCCTGCCCTAATTTTGCTACCTTGCTAGCTCCTCTCAATTCAAATATAACTAATACAAATCATTTCATGGATTCTGATATGGTTTGTAAATTTTCATTTTTGTTTAAATTGCAGCATATTTAAGATAAATTTGTAATAGAATGTCTTTGTACA